ACAACAATACAATAAATTAAATTCGATGAGCGTTATGATCCAAACGTTAATTTTCAAAGATATCTCGTATTAATCCTTGCAGGGCCTATACGTGTTGCATGATTTTGATCTATCAGAAGTATACAGATGGCGCTTCCCGAAAGATTTTTTTTATGGAACATACAAAGTTCGATTGAACTATATCGATAGCAAAGATGTAGTTGTTGGTTGTTTGTATGTGATTGTTGACGTATTACGACCGTGGGAAGATTCTTATTGATACAAAATCAAAAAAAAAATTCTGGTTAGGGCAAAAAAAATATTATACGCTTAATATATAACCGAATCTACGGTAGTGATTTTTACATAAACACTATAATATTAGCGTGCACAATTATTTAGTATTATTTATGTTTTAAAAATAAATAAAATTACACTACATATTTTTTGGTTCTTCTTAAAATGATTGTCATTGTATTGCTCCACGTTACTTTGACTTGAATGAAATTATGGCCCGAGAGCAGCTAAAACTTCATGTTGGACAAATTTAAACAAATAGGTACATAAGAAGAAGTACCTAGAGCGTAAATAAACGATTCCTAAGTCACCCCAAACTTATATCTACTTGGAACATCTCGAAACTCCGTATGAAAGGCGTTTTAAGTTTTAAGTAGACTCGGTGGATTGACTGTAAGTCGTGAGTATGTTAACATTTTGTTATTCGAGTTGTTTGTCTTATAACTTTAGTATTTACAAAATAATTAAGTAGCGTAAAAAGTACAAAGAAATAACATGACATACTGAGAAGTAATGAAAAATCAAAATCAAAGAATACTACGGATACTAGGAAAACTATGCCATTAAAATAATATATATACATAAGTGTTGAAGTATTAATGGAATCCAAAATATAAATTTCATTTTCAGACTTTAAAATATAAAATTATTCTATTTATTGTAATATTAGCATACATATTTTTCGATAAAATAGGTGTATGAAAACAATTATTCCATCATAGTTCATACATAATTTATGTACCTACATTCTACGCCTACTTTATATCACCACTTGTGTGTTTTAGTAAACACTAAATTTACGAACAATATCAAGTGTATTTTTTTTAGAAGAGGATAATATTTTTTATGTTCCGATAGTATAATTTGAATAGCAAACAATAAACACTTTACCTCTTGTGAGTGATATAAAATACAAAAATGTTGTCTACATAAAATAAAATACAGCGTAGGTAAAAATCAATTGCCTTTGTTTTGAATTTTGAAATTGTTGTTCATATAATATATTGAAACATTCCACCGAACAAAACTGAATATTGTTATCTGGTATATATGTATTTGGCTAGCTCTCACGTCACCCGTCAAATTACGTTGTACCGTTGTTTGTTATGTATATATCATGTTCATATCCTTCAACATTGTTTATGCTAATTCGATTGCAACGAATGAGCATTTCTATTGAAACAATATAATATTTTATTTACAAAATACATATTCCGCGAGTAAAACAACTTAGAACCGTATCTACGATACAGACATAATATTATTATCATAATAAATTACCAATTTCGAGTAATATTTTTTGGAAAAAAAAAATATATATATAAATTTCATCCCATAAGAAAACCCCAAATTTTTTTATATAAATTAAATCTTCCGATTAGTATGGCAAATACAATATTTGTTAATAATTCATAAGCTTACAATATCTTACAGAAAAACTCGTATTTTTAAAACGTATAAATAAATAAATAAGGTTTAAATGTTTTAATAAACGGTATAACACTAGACCGAGTTGTACACCCTTAAGAACTGTAAATACAGTATTTTATGAAATTGTAAAGATAATATTAAAACGAATTTCCCTGTATTATTACATTAAATTTAGCAAAGCTAAATGTTTTAGCATATTTTTGTAGTTTAATAAAACCAACAACAGAAAAAACATATTTTGTTATTGGTACCGCAAAAAATAAATTAAAAATTTATTACACAACAAAATGTAAACGTGGACCGTAAATCTAGCTATTTCATTATTATATTTTATACATTATACCTACATTGTTTAAGTACCATTTTTATGAAGGGATTCAGTTTCAAAAAATGTTCGAAGGTTTCATTTATTTGTTCAGGGCTCAGAAAATATTCAGCAGTACCAACTTTGGTTAGGTAATGGTAAATTCAAAGAGAAGTATATTTGTACATTATTGTCATTTAAATTCAAGTTGCTCTACTAATCATGAACGTTTGCGGTGTGAGTCCAACCGAAATTCAATACAAAGGTATAAAGGTGTGGTATACTATTATCATTACCCTGAGGTAGTTGAAGCGTAGATACTATAAACGATTACACCAAAATCAAATTACCCTCAATAATCTTATCTGTCTACAAACACTTCTCAACTTACCACCGGCCCGTAGGCTTTAGTGGAAATAGAATATAGAGAGATCAGAGGATTAGTCGGTCGGTGAACAACAATACAGCTGCTATCGACAAAATGTAGTTCATTTATCTCTTGTCCGACATATTATGTTACTTAAATTTTTGGAAAATATTATTTTTTTATTTACCTATTTGCACCCCAGCTTTTTTTTAAATCTTGACGATGCATCGATTTAACTTTGAAGTGATTTTTGACATTTTTTATATTAAAGTGAAATGGCAGTTTGTACAAATGTAATTGGTTTTTTATACGATAAAACGATGATTCGACATGTATATTTCATTTTATTTTTATGCTTATGATAAGCATACAGAATATATTAACACGCATGTTTTGTATTTGTAAGTTTTGAGGTGCGCTCCTTGGTTGTTGAAATTTCATAAATAGTTTGTTTTTTGCACATTTTCCTTGTCTAAATATTTTAACATTATCTAATCAGTTAAACAGTTTCATTTAATTTACACTAATTACACAACTTGCGGTTACTCCCACTTGAGTAGTTTGACAATTGGCTGGTCTGCCAAACTAGCCAAACTACTCAAGTGGTTGTAACAGCAAGTTATGTAAATAGTGTTAATAAAATCTCTCAAACCCACACCGAGATACAACAGTCGATTTAACAGTCACTTATTTTGTATTGTTCTGGTCCTTTCTTGTAAATAAAAATTAGAACTTTCTGATTTTTTTTTTAAGTGGTTCCATCAAATCTGGAGGCGTTTTAAAAAATAATTAGTCGTGTCAGAATGTAAACGACCTTACATTACTCTCTATGCCCAACAATGCATCTTAAAGATTAAAAAGAAAGTGGTGCTGAGACCTTCCCCCTCATAATTAATACATTTTTTTTTTAATCCACTCTTATCCGAATGGTCGTTGACGCCATATTGAGCCCGGCTCTGATTTGAAAGTGTTAATTAAATATATGTCAATAGAGGTTAGATTTAGAAATCAACAGTTTATGCTGCAATATAAACAATATCTGAGAAGGGAATACTTGCGTGCACTACGTTAGCAAAGAAAATTAAAAAAATGTTTCCGTCGGTATGTATGGAAAGAGGAAAAATTTTATGGGTATATATACATTTGTCTGGGACCTTGGCTATGTGTATTTTTTTGCCCGGTACGATCACGCCATCTCGTGTGTTATTACAATCACAAGCAGTCACAGGGGTCGGTCGGCGGCTGTCGTGTCATACAGAATAAAACATTTAAAAAAAAAATAAAAAAACAGAAGGTGTGTTAGTATAGTGGATGGGAGGGTTGTTTTTTATTTCGAGCTCTTTGTCTGCCGGCCGAATCGTTGTCGTCGGTCGTCGCACATAACACACTATGAGTTTCGAGTTCATGAATTTCTTATCTATTGTCGGTTAATAGACCCGGCGGTGGTGGTATTATGTAGTGAACATCTATGTGTGTATAATACATATAAAACAACAGCGATTTAAAGGGCGAAGGGTTGCATCTGAGAATTCTACAAAACTTTCAACGCCCGCAATACGCTATAATAATCCATCCGTTCGACCCCATCCCTCATCCCCTATCGGGGTTACCTGCCTATCTTATGAGATAATGATGTTCATTGTTTTTGTTGTTTGTCTCATTCGTGAGCGTATCGAAATTCGCATCTCGAGTGTCTGCATATACACCAATAAACATTATTGTACTCGGTTCAATCGTTTCATTAACAGTTCCTGTGCATTGACCCGTGCAAACTGAGAGCAAGTTCGATAATATTGTATGAATGTCTACCATAAGCAAAAAATTAAATAAAACCAGGAGTCGCACTTTCTATTCAAGCAATTTTTTTTTTAGTTATTAATCCTCGGATTGGTTTGTTGCAGCTCTCATGCTTCTCTATTGTAACTTAAATCTCCGAGGTCCATGTATTTTTCTTTATTCATATCCTTTATTATGGGGGGTCGTGTATTCTGCACTTGGTCTACTCCTCTTCCAACGTCTCCTTCAATTATTGTCTATAGTAAGCTTTCATGTCTTAAAATTATGTGTCTATTCAAGCAATGTAAATCCTAAGTAATGTCACCGTCGTGTAAGAAGCTAGCCAGGTGTAATGTCTCTTGGCGAGTTGCCGGAAATTGTATTAAATTCCGGTGAATTCATTAGAAGTATATTAGCTAAAGCAACACTGTAGCCAAAACGCTTCGGGTTACAAACGAACAAAGCTAGTAAATCTGTCTAAGCAATTACTGCAAAATTGGACGATCTTACATATTATGTCGAACCTATTATAATAATAAATTTAAAATCAGTATACAATAATACCTTGCTAAATTACATGTTGGGTTTATGAAGGTCGTCATTCATCCTATGGTCTTCAGGTTAAATAATAGCTTCTCGAACATGTTGCATCCGGAAACATCTAATTATTATTTTACAGGGTATCTATGTGAAATCAAACACTGCATCATTTCAATGTAACTATCATGATTGAAAAAAATCTCATTGTTCAACATTGTATTAAAAAAAAAAAATTCCAAAATTCTTAGAAAAAGCTAATGAAGTACAAATCCATACGTGATATTTATTTAACTCCAGGGTCAATGGTATTTATTTATAATGAAGAAAAAAATGATGAGCATTACAAAGTTTTCATTTGTTTTCAATACAAGCAAGTTGTCTAACGCAAAAATAAAATGGCCATCCGTTTTGTCATCATACCGTGGTTATTCGTTTTATTGCCAACTTTTTATAGTTTTACTTATCATAGGGTTCTTCGGCCAAATTTACCGGTAGTAAGTATTGGAAAGTTTGAGTGTTTAACGATAATTTCATTTTATTATTTCAAAAAGTGATTTATTAGAAAAAGAAAACATAATATTATGCATAATAAAATTTTGTATAATGCAATAATCGTTGTTACTTTAGGGAGAATACAAATTAAAATACAAAGCTGCACATGCTTGCAACGAAACCGCCAACTATTTGATAGACCACAAATTATACTTGTACAGAGTTTCCCAGAACCGAACAGAATTAAGAGGAAACATAACGTTAAAAATTCCTTTCGACGATACCTTATTTGTAAGTTCTACGTAAACAAAATTAAAAAATTAAGTACCTTTTTTTTTCTTACACTTAACTAATATACGATCACAAAAACAATTTGCGTGGCAGTTCGATATAAATATGGCTGTTCTAAGTAAAATCGGAGGATGGAAAGATAACGCGTACGTTTACCGCACTGGAAAAGCTTGTTCGACGTTGAATTTTTTCATGGGACCAACGTGGGATGAGTACATGGTAAAAAATATGAACTTAAGTGCAACCCATCAGTGTCCAATACCAAAAGTAAAATAAAAACAAAATTACAATAAAACAAATTCGATGAGCGTTATGAATCAAACGTTTATTTTCAAAAATATCTTGTAGTCCATTTGTTGGTATTACAATTATTTTGTTAATCATTGCAGGGCCTATACGTGATGCATGGTTTTGATCTATCAGAAGTATACAGATGGCGCTTCCCGAAAGAGTTTTTTTATGGGACATACAAATTTCGATTGGCCTATACCGATAGCAAAGATGTAGTTGTTGGTTGTTTGTATGTGATTGTTGACGTATTACGACCGTGGGAAGATTCTTATTGATACAAAATCAAAAAAAAATTCGGGTTAGGGCAAAAAAATATTATATACTTAATATAATAACCGAATCTACGGTAGTGATTTTTACATAAACACTATAATATTAGCGTGCACAATTATTTAGTATTATTTATGGTTTAAAAATAAATAAAATTACACTACATATTATTTGGTTCTTTTTAATATGATTGTCATTGTATTGTTCCACGTTACTTTGACTTGAATTAAATTATGGCCCGAGAGCAGCTAAAACTTCATGTTGGACAAATTTAAACAAATAGGTACATAAGAATAAGTACCTAGAGCGTAAATAAACGATTCCTAAGTCACCCCAAACTTATATCTACTTGGAACATCTCCAAACTCCGTATGAAAGGCGTTTAAGTTTAAGTAGACTCGGTGGATTGACTGTAAGTCGTGGGTAGGTATGTTAACATTTTGTTATTCGAGTTGTTTGTCTTATAACTTGAGTATTTATAAAATAATTAAGTAGCGTAAAAAGTACAAAGAAATAACATGACATACTGAGAAGTAATGAAAAATCAAAATCAAAGAATACTACGGATACTAGGAAAACTATGCCATTAAAATAATATATATACATAAGTGTTGAAGTATTAATGGAATCCAAAATATGAATTTCATTTTCAGACTTTAAAATATAAAATTATTCTATTTATTGTAATATTAGCATACATATTTTTCGATAAAATAGGTGTATAAAAACAATTATTCCATCATAGTTCACATAAATTATGTAAATACATTGTACGCCTACTTTATATCTTCACTGGTGTGTTTTAGTAAACACTAAATTTACGAACAATATCAAGTGTATTTTTTTTAGAAGAGGATAATATTTTTTATGTTCCGATAGTATAATTTGAATAGCAAACAATAAACACTTTATCTCCTGTGTGTGATATAAAATACAAAAATGTTGTCTACATAAAATAAAATACTGCGTAGGTAAAAATTAATTGCCATTGTTTTGAATTTTGAAATTCATGTTCATGTAATATATTGAAACATTCCACCAAACAAAACTGAATATTGTTATCTGGTATATATGTATTTGGCTAGCTCTCACGTCACCCGTCAAATTACGTTGTACCGTTGTTTGTTATGTATATATCATGTTCATATCCTTCAACATTGTTTATGCTAATTCGATTGCAACGAATGCGCATTTCCATTGAAATAATATAATATTTTATTTACAAAACACATATTCCGCGAGTAAAACAACTTAGAACCGTATCTACGATACAGACATAATATTATTATCATAATAAATTACCAATTTCGAGTAATATTTTTTGGAAAAAAAAAAATATATATAAATTTCATCCCATAAGAAAACCCCAAATTTTTTTATATAAATAAAATCTTTCGATTAGTATCGCAAATATAATATTTGTTAATAATTCATAAGCGTACAATATCTTACAGCAAAACACGTATTTTTAAGACATACAAATAAAAAAATAAGGTTTAAATTGCACATTTTTCTGGTCTAAATATTTTAACATTATCTAGTCAGTTAAACAGTTTCATTTCATTTACACTAATTACACAACTTGCGGTTACTCCCACTTGAGTAGTTTGACAACTGACTGGTCTGCCAAACTAGTCAAACTACTCAAGTGGTTGTAACAGCAAGTTATGTAAATAGTGTTAATAAAATCTCTCAAACCCACACCGAGATACGACAGTCGATTTAACAGTCACTTACTTTTCATTGTTCTGGTCCTTTCTTGGCAAACATTTTCTACCTTAGTAGTTTTTCCCGACCCGTTACGTTCCCTGATATTTTAATCTCACCGCGTCCCTTCCCAGTTCAATCTTCCGAACGCTAATTATGTTTACAACACTTTGCTCATTCCTTTGCATATTAACCGGATAACTTTTCTCCCAATATCATCTCCTCTAACCGTCAAAATCCGTTTTGTATCCGTCTTATTTAAATCTATAGCTATTCAATTTCCTACAATTAACATTTCTAAAAAAAAAACTTTCTTAACCTAGCTAATATCCCTAACCCGCTTATCGGGTAACATTTATCTTTTCAGTTGGGTTTTTCTTTTTATATACTCTGTGACAATCGCCTATAATATTGAAAAAAAATTACATAATAATATATTTTAGGATCTCGAAAATAGAAAATCACCATCATAAGAACATTTTTCAATTATTTTAAACTGGTAACTCATATGTACCAGAGAAATGTAATCAGTTTGACATACTGATCACACTGCAGATCGCCTTTTCTCATATTTCAGAATATTTTACTTATTGCGACCCCCTGACCTGTATCAATAATATTATTACTTAAATAATGTAGTCGATAAGATAAGTAGCCGAAGATAATATATTACATGAATATATAAACCGATTAGGGTTTTCCCCAAAGATTGAATTCATACCAGAATTATTATTAGATTGAAAAAGATTTTGAGCTAAAGCTTGGAAATATGATAAATTTTTAGACTTGATTTTATGTTATGCGAAGTACGATTTTATCACATTTAATCGTCGAATAAATCGAGGAATTGAGTAAATTAATCTTTTATAATATATTATTATAAATACCATGTACTATTCAACATGTATAATTTATAAAAGATGTTATGTTGACAAGAACGATTGTGCAAATATCGAATGACAATGAGAATTTTTATTCAATTGTGTTCAAAACACTGTGACCGAAAAAATAAAACTATCTTTATTGTGTTTAAAAGCAATACTATTAATTAAATGCAATAAAATATGCGTTGTATTTAACAAAAAAAAAAAAACAAATTTTATTTAACTTTCAAACTTTTTGTTTTTTAGAATGGCCTGACTATGAAGTTATCGCACCCGCACGTCTACGCCTTCATCCTTTTAATCCTCTTGTCATGTAAGTAACTTGCTTTTGTACGTCTAACATGTTATCATAGTGCAATATGTTACAATATATAATATAGGTACACCCATTGTTGTTTTAGTCCTAATGAAACCCAGATTAAATTGAATAGCCAAGATAGACTAAACGTTTATTGCTCTGGACATAAATCAATATCCGCCGGTCGGTGTTCCACGTAGTAGTGTTTTGCCAACAGGAAATTGCCCTCGGCCAATTTCCATAGTTCGTCAGCCATGTCGACACATCCATTTCGAGACTAACTGATTTTGCTTGTCGTCCATTATCAACTGATCAATAAAAAAATTTAACCACTCGTTACCCTACCCTGACCCATACTGACCCGTACTGAGCATTAACGGCATGTGAAATCTGGTTAAAAGGCCAAACCAGAATAGTAAAAAAAAAAAAAAAATTATGACAAACGCGAAATTTATAAAATGACATAAAACAAATGAGATTTCAAATAGAACACGATGTAAAATAGAAAGAAAATATCGTAAAAAAAAAATTACAAATTTGTAGAACGATTTGAAAAAAAAATCGATAAAATATTACAATATTTAAATTTTTAGTGAATTTGGTGAAAAATAAATTTCTATGAATTGTAGTTCTTATAATATACTTGTTGAAAGTTGTGAGAAAATGTTTAATATATTTTAGTTATAAATAATATATTATGTTTATTTTAGATTTAATTCAGACTCTAAAACTAAAAAAAATGTCGAACCCCTAGGAAACGCTAAAAATATCATTTATACGTTTTATCTAAAAATATAATTATGTAAAATATTAACTATTTTTGTTTGTCATACAAATCGTAATATATATAGTTGAAACTTTTAAAAATCTCTTAAAAAAGGTATTGCTAGTTTTGTTTATATTATGGACAGTTTCAATTAGATCATTCATAAAGTGTCAACATTATTTAACAGGGCCGTACCGTGCTATGCACAACCGTTGGTCGGTCGGAACCTAAATATAAAATAATAACATTATTAGAAAATGTACCCCACGTGTTTTCTAAGTCTAACTTTGCACTACTGTCGTTGAAATATGTTATTAAAGCTATCAAGGCGAACACCGAGCTAGAGGGACCGGAATTTCATTCGGTGCCGCCGTTCAACGTACAATTTTCTAACGACACTGGAGTGAAAATCGACTGCACGGCATTCGGCAACCCAACGCCACAAATACAATGGTATTTAGGTAATAAAAAAAAATTATACGAATAAAAGTTATGATTAGGAACCGGAAGTGATAAAAATATAATATTATGTAAACAAGCAAACGCATACAAAATACGAAATTTTGAATTTGGATACTAATCACTCTTCCAGAAGCATTCGGTAAAAAAAAAAAATGCAAACGCAAGAAGAACTTCCGGGCCAGATTTTTGGTTATTTTTTCGCTGTAAACGTGTATCAGTGTTACCCATTGATTTTAGAATATACGTTTGAGCGATGCTATACAGAAGAACAGCGACTAATTTTATGCGGGATTTCCGCCTTCAGCAGAGGTACCCTCGTGATTGTGTATGGATCGGCGGACGGTCGACTATGACGAGGGTACCTCTGTTGACGACGGAAAACCCGCATAAAATGGGTCGCCGGTCTCGTGTGTGGCACCGGTCGTCTGTATAATTTAAAATCGACGGCGTTACTATATAATAGCGTTTTAATGTTTGTTTTGTCGTTCAGAGGACGGGACAAGAGTGATGACGATTCCCAAAACCAGAGTGGTCCACCAGAACGGCAGTTTGGTGTTTTTGAGTTTCGGCCCTAGCTCTTATATGCACGACGTGCACAGCGCACGCTATAGGTGCAAGGCTAGCAACGCCGTTGGCCAGATCGCCAGCGGTGTCGTCCACGTTACCGCAGGTGAGAAATCCCCGGGGTGGGCTTTTCCCCGTTTTAATTCCGATGGATACTAATGAAAAAACGCTACTCGGATCCGTTTTTGTTGCCGTTTTAGTGATGAACCAGAATTACGACGTTCAGGTGTACGACGAATTCGTGACCGTTGGCAACACCGCATTGTTGCGCTGTCACATCTCTGCGTACGCTTCCAACTATGTAATGGTCACGTCGTGGACCCAGGACGACGTCATACACTTTTACCCCAACGTGGATTCGGGCGGAAAACACTTGGTGCTGGGCAACGGCGATCTGTACATCAACAACGTGGACGCCAGCGACGGCTTCAAGAGCTACACGTGTAGGACGGTGCACAAGCTGACCGGTGAAATACGATCTAGCACTTTCCCCGGTCACATAACCGTTAATGGTAACTGGTAACCGGTCGTTGCTCGTGAATTTTGTATTTTCAAACATTTTGTTTTTTTTTTTTGTTGTTGTTAGAGCCTACCGGGAATCAACGTCCACGAGTCATAGTCGAATCCGACAGCAGAAAGCACGTCAAAGTAGGCGAAGATCTCATTCTTTCGTGTTTGTCCCAGGGTTTCCCGTTGCCGTCCTACAGATGGTACAGAGAAAACGACGACCAACTCACCACTATAGTACACGATCCGAGGGTATCGATTCCGATGGCTGGATTACTGAAAATTGAAAAAATTCGACTCGAAGACGACGGCAAATACGCATGCGTGTCCAACAACAGCGTGGGCGAGGAAACAGTTCGTCACAGCGTCTTCGTCACTGGTACGCATACATTTATTTGATTTCAACACGAATAAGTTCTACACTTCTATGGCTGGGGCTCATTTCAAACTTAGCTAACACTTTTCAGTAAGGTTGAAATCCGTCCCGTTGTCGATATCTATAATAGAGATAAGAAAGGGTAAATGGCGGATACGTGGGCGGGTGCGATAAAACATATTCATCATAAGTTTTCTCGGGTAAACAAATTTACACGGAGTTTATTGTTTTTTTTTTTTTTTTTTACAGAACCTTTAATGGTAAACATTCGGCCGCAAAAAGTCGTTGGTTCTTCACTCCTGGACCCGATGAAATCGCTTCAGTTCGTATGCACAGTTAACGGTTATCCGATTAATAGGATATCGTGGTATAAGAACGGACAACCATTGGTGCAAATCAACGGCAGAGTGCGCGTAGCGACGACAGCCAACAAACAAGTATTGCATTTGTCATCGTTAAATAAAGACGATCAAGGAATGTATCAGTGTTTTGGAACGAACGATTGGGACACGGCTTACGATAGCACTCAACTTTTACTCGGAGGTAAGTAGTCGCCAGATGTCGATTAAAGTCAAGTGGTTTAAAATTATTTCCGAACCGCTTTAGACATTGGACCAGAGCTAGTGTACTGGTTTACCGAGCAGACATTACAACCGGGTCCGTCATTGTCTCTGAAATGCGTAGCGTCCGGAAACCCTCTGCCCCAGTTTACTTGGAATTTAGACGGGTTTCCTATACCCGAGTCGAATAGAGTATTGATTGGTCAGTATGTCACTGCACACGACGACGTCGTAGCTCATGTCAACATATCGTCCTTGAAAGTCGAAGATAGCGGAGAATACACGTGTACAGCACACAACGAAATAGCTCAAGCGTCGCACTCTTCTAGAATAAATGTTTATGGCATACCGTTCATCAGAGAAATGCCAAATGTGCGCGTAGTGGCTGGCAAACAACTGTCAATAAAATGTCCTGTTGCAGGATATCCAATCGAGTCCATCACTTGGGAAAGAGGTGCCGAATAATTGTTATAATTTTATAGGGTTAAAAAATACAAAATTTAATGAAACCAAATTTGCTATTTTCAGATGGTCTTGTATTGCCAAGAAACCGACGTCAAAAAGTCTACAGTAATGGAACGTTAACTGTTGATCAGGTTCAACGACAATCAGACGCAGGTTCATATACCTGTCTTGTTAAAAATCATCATGGTCAGTTTTCTAGAAGAAATGTGGAAGTGAAAATATTAGGTATGATTCTTGTAAAAAAAAATTAACAAACTTTTTCCCTTTGTGAAAAATGTGTATGATAATGTTTTTAATCTTTTACGAATTATTTCGCGTTTATGACAAAAAACCCTCAGGTTTTATATTGACTCCCTTATTAGCAACGCATTATCACTAATCTATTATCAGTTATCCTTATCATTAATGCTATTATCAGTTATCCATTGAAACTATAATTTTAACGATCTTTTATCACTGATAAGAGTAATATCGTGTATTTTTTGTGCTGGAAGTTTGCGTCACGTGATATATGAAATGACACCCGGCTTAAAGGATTATCATGTTAAATAACAATAATAAAATACGTCTTAAATCGTAATAACTGTTGTCTTTTTTATGTTGAAAAAATTAGTTCGTCCGAAAATTTTGCCAATCCCTCCGATGACCAATCTTTTAGCAGAAGGTATGCGAGCAGCAATTTCTTGTCAAATTGTCGAAGGCGATCTTCCAGTGATGTTTACATGGATGAAAAACGGAGGTGAAGGAAAGAGTGACTTAGGCCAGGGGACAACGACAAGGCACCATGATGAATATTCGTCATCGTTGATTATTGAGCATATAACAGCGAACAACGCAGGAAACTACACTTGTATTGCAACTAATGCAGCCGGAGAAGAAAAATATACTGTGCCTTTAACGGTAAACGGTAAGCAGATGTCAAAAATATTGTACACATGTTATTAAAAAAAAAAAATGTATTAATTAACGGAATACCATTTAAAATTATAGTTCCGCCAAAATGGACAGTCGAACCTCAAGATACTAATGTTATAATGACATACCCTTGTATGCTCCATTGTCAGGCTGAAGGATATCCAACGCCGACAATAGTCTGGAGAAAATCATTTGGTAATATTGAAAATAGTCCTTTTAAAAAAAATAGTTTTTTAGTTTATCAAACACTTATGAACAAATTTCTCATCTATCATAATTAATAATTTTTCATCGGGATTTATTTTATCTAATTATACAATTTTCCACTAAGGTGACAATATGGGAGATTTTAAAGACTTTTTGTACGAACCGAACGTAAATTTCTTTCGAAATGGAACAATAGAGTTTCTCCATACTAGTAAAGCAAATGAAGGTAAATACATGTGTGAAGCCAAAAATGGCATTGGTTCCGGATTAAGTAAAGTCATACGACTAGAAATAAATGGTAATTTTTTCAACACGAATAATAGCTACGACAAATTAATTAACTAATTGTAACAAAATATGTCGTGTGTTATAATTATAGTTCCGGCAAAGTTTAGACAAAAGTCTAAGCAAATACAAGCTAAACTTAACAGCGATGCACTTATCCAATGTTCTGCCGTAGGAGACTACCCTTTAAAAATTACATGGAAAGGATCGAATAATATGCCAATTTTGGAAGAAGTAGACCAAAGGTAATTGAATCTTTTGTAACTGTTGGCTTACTATAAATATAATTATGTTTATCAAAGTATTTAACAATCCATAGTGTGTATTACTACAATATGTTAATAGGTTTTTTTAATGTTTTTATTGCATCACACTTGTTTGTCGCTTGATTTTTTTAGATATTCAATAAGACAACTGGCTCAAGAAAACGGTATGGCGTCTGAACTTGGAATATCTCCTGTGTACAGACACGATACTGGTGTGCTGAAGTGTACAGCGAATAATGAATACGGTCAAGACGAAATGACTATAGAGTTGATTGTTCAAGGTTTGATAATATTTTCTCTATTGAAAACAATATACGTGGATTTTTTTTAAATAATTTAATTCTATTTATAGAAGCCCCAGAAAATCCTAAAGGCGTGAGGATCGTGAACCAGCATAGTAGATCGGTAGAAGTAACGTGGGATCATCCGTATGATGGAAATAGTGTTCTATTACATTATATAGTTCAATACAAACAGGTAGCATGTAAGTGACGGTGTACGATATTATTAACTATCTTCGTGTAAAAATTATATGAAATTAATCTAAAATCTATTCTAGCATTGTGGCCAACGAATCCGGTCAAAGTCATCGTTGCTGGTAATCAGAATTCCGTCAATGTTGAAGATTTGCAACCAGCGATACCTTATCATTTCAGAGTTATAGCAGAAAACGCGATTGGGCCCAGTGAGCCTAGCGATGAAGTGCAAGTCTCTACTCTAGAAGAAGGTATCGTATTAAAATATTAGGTTCCACAAATGGCATATATAATATGCCAAGTTGGAAAAACTCTGGTTTTTTTTTTCCAAAAAATTAATAATACTAAGAAATTATATCTTACGCTCGAAGGAAAGATAGTAAATTGTGAATGCCTACAACCTCTTAACAGCTGCTCTTAACATCTGTCTTTTATCAGTTATCATATATATTTTACTAATAGAGGTCAGGGAACATTAAATAATCTAATAATCTAATAATCCCTATCCATGCCAAAAGACCCGACATCATTAAGTTGTTTAAGGGGTATACATAAACCAAATAAAATCCTATTAAAGCTTTATTTTTGGATAATAGTTTCCTTGATCATTTCTAAAAGAAATCTTTCTTAGTTATTTGTTTTTTATCTTACCTGCAGTCGGTTTTCATTTCCTTTAATACTATTTTCTTTATTTATTAATTGTTTTAAACAACCGTTTTCGAAGGTATGAAAGGTATATCTTTTTTTGACAACAAGTCTTCTTTCGGGAATTTCGGCTATGGTCTATAGACGAGTTTCTTTTGAGACAGGCTTCTAAATAATCCTTATATAATCTATTCGCATGGAAATCATTGTAATTTAATAAACTAATTAGTAATAAATGATATTGTTTAGCTCCGGCCATGGCTCCTCAAAATATCCGAGCTGAAACTAAAAGTAAAACAGAAATCTTAATAATGTGGGAACCGCCACGGGCAGAAGCTTGCAATGGAATTTTGACCGGCTATAATATTGGATATTTACCTATCGACGATTTGTCAAGTGCCGTCACATCAGCAGCGCCTTTTACCCGGTATACAATGAAAACTATAATTATCAATTCACATTACGGCGAAGAGATCACTCTAAACGAACTGGTACCGTTTACAAAGTATTCTGTCATCGTACAAGCTTTTAACAGGCAAGGCCGAGGGCCGTTTTCTGATCCAATCACAGCGCAGACTGACGAAGGAGGTAAGTTCTAAATGTTGCTCTGACACGAATATATGTATTTCACATGAATATGTTTTATGGTTGAGGGTCAATTCAAAATGTGTGTAATACTTTTCTGTAAAATCAAAATCTGTCCCATTGTTGACCGTATAAGTTTTGCCTTTTTATCACAATAAGGATGTGTTTCTTATCACTCCCGTTTTCGACCCTTCTCAACTCTTATCACACTCCTTATCTCTTATCAGTTCCCCTTATCATTAATATAAATCGTGTGAAATTTTCCCATAAAATTAGTAGTGGGTAAGTGGGTGCTATAAAACGATGTTTCTTCTTCCATTCTTCCTTTCTTATATTTGTAAAGCACTCATTTACTTCCCACCTGAAATGATAAAAAATGTTTTACCTTTGGAATTTATGTATTATTATATCGTATAAACATATGACCAGTGCCGACAATGCCTCCGGAAAATGTAGCGTGTAGATCTCTGACATCACAGAGCATTCAAGTATCGTGGGACATGCCTCCGGTGGTTGGCCGTAACGGTAAAATACAAGGTTATAAAGTGTCATATCAACCCGCTGAAGATTGGTATGGTATGTATACAAATTACAATTTATAGATAACACTGTTTGTAATTATTTGGATTCGGTTGTAGAAAAAAACGAGTACGAAACCAAAATAACTACAGCGCAATACACGACTATTCAAGCTTTGTCGAAGTACACAAATTATAGTATATCAGTTTTTGCGTTTACGAGCAAAGGAGATGGCACACGCAGTAAGCTTATTTACTGTAAAACCGAAGAAGATAGTAAGCGATAATTGATCGAGTCGAAAATTATTCTAATGCAAAATTAACAATTTCCAATTGATACGGCGTTTTTAGCTCCTTCTATGCCAGCGGATATCAAAGCGGCAATTAGTTCTATAAATTCCATTATCGTATCTTGGCTTCCTCCACTTCATCCAAACGGAAAACTCACTGGCTACCTTGTATACACATCGGTTTTGACAGGCCACAAGGATGTGAGTTGTCATAATGTTTGTTTGCCGAAAACAAAAAAGTTGTACAATCATATTATTATTTGTTTATTCGTTTGCAGTCGAAACCAATCAAGAGAATATTAGGGCCGTCGGTTGAAGTTTTCGAAACGACCAGGATCATAGATGGCGCCAAGTATCAATTTTGGGTAAAATCTACTACTAAAGTTGGCGAAGGTGAAAGTACAAGGACTATTACGGTTTTGCCTACTATAAAAGTACCGGCGCAAATAGTGTCTTTCAGTCAATTGGTGAACATTCGGTGGAAGAAAAATGTAACGCTCAACTGTAAAAGAGTGGGTATTCCGTTTCCTCAACCCATTTGGACAAAAGATGGACGGTCAGTGACGTCCAGTGGAAGATATCAGGTAAAACAAACCGTTATACTCAATACAAAGTGTACCGTGAATGTATGGTAGTTCCATGTCTGACCCTGTAGAGTTTAAAATGAGAATTTTTCCAATTATTTTTTTTAAATCTAATTTTTAAGGGTTTAACAAGTTAAATAAATAATCAAAATTATAAATAGTTCATACAATGAATTAACAATGAGTTGAGTTATCACATCATTTAAACACGATTATTACTTATTGGATATATCTTCAACTGCACCTAATCAGTGCACTTGTGGGTGTTATTTTGATGATTGTAATTTTTTAGAAATGCCCAAATTTAAGAGTTTTGACGCACAAACAACATTGAATTAACTCATGTTCCATTCCGTATAAATAGTTTAAACGTATTCGTGAATGGTAGAGCTTTGCGCTTGTGTGTACATTTTATTCATACAACGTGAAATCTATTATAGATAAACAAAGACGGTGCATTGGTGATTCACGACGTCCAACATACAGATAGAGGAAATTACACGTGCTTTGTGGAGAATACACACGGGAAAGACGAAATCGTCTACACCGTTAACGTCAGGGGTAATTTTATTTTAAAATTCCCAAGCGATTGTTGTTTACATTTTAATTACACTATTCGTTTACTATAATTTTGTAGTTCCGCCGCCACCGCCGAAATTGTCGATTCACGTAGAACAGACGGATAGCTTACACCTAAAGTGGACGGACACGGCCGAACCGGATGTCCCGATATTGGGTGAGTAAATTACAAAAAAAAAGCAAAAGACACAAAAAATTGCAGAAAATTAACCACAATTTCAAAAAAAAAAATGTTAACAATAACACAGATTAGATAAAACCAGGTAAAATACACTAGGTTATAGCATCTCTAACCTCTCTTCATCGACATTTTCGATGGTAAAAATAAAATGGCAGCGCAAGTTCAGCCGATCAAATTCATTTATTTTATAAAGGTATTATGTACATATTTATCAAAAAAAAAACAATTATTTACCCTCACGCTGCCGTTTTGTGAGTTGATAATATAATTAGGTGGGGATATGCGATAATCTAAACCTGAAATACTCCTCGACTTTGTGTGTCTGGGTTCTAGAAATGAAACTATTGTACAACACATTTCAATAGCAGTATAATAAATTCAGTGATGTTAAGGAGCTTAAGCTGAGGAGGGTTTTGATTAATTGTTTACACTATCAGCAATTACATCGCTTTGCCAGGGAGTGCACTATCTGGTTTTACCTCATCTGTGATAACAATAATATACCAATAAGCCTACTATGATTATGAAGGTTATATAATCAATTACAAACGCGAACACGGCGATTGGGAAGAGATTCAAATTGACGGTAAATCGCATTCACGCGTTTTACAAAACTTGAACTGTGGCACAAAGTATCAAGTGTACATAACCGCGTTCAATAAAATCGGAACCGGGTTGCCTTGTGATATAATGACAGCTTACACTAAAGGATCGGGTAAGTACACTCATCGTTAGTGGGAAAACGCTAGCCTTATTTTTGTGAGCGTTACAAGAAGCAGGTATATAATATATATAATAAAATTTTGCGAGATCTACATGTCGTGGAGTGTACAATAAGGAGTTTTTTCACAAAATAAGGCGCGGGCTTATGCAATAAAATAATCTTAGATTAGTAATTGCGGTGTTAAACATAAACACAATATTATGTTAAATCAAACCTTAGACCTTTTGCAATGAATGTAGCGATATGTGTTATTGGCTGTACTGCGACCAATATAAAACTTCACCACCGACAAACGTTAAGTATTAGTGTGCAACTGCGCATGCCATACTTAGCGATTACGATTGCTAATGGCCTTATGGCATTCGCATTAGACACATGTCACTTCTCCGGTGGAACAATGGCGTAAGTGCAAATTTTTGACTTTTTTACTTAAGTACGATAACATTTCATTTTATTGAGTAAAACCTAGCATAAGTGTAATACCTATTATTGACCGCTAGAGAGCAGTTTTGTCGTTTACCATTACACTAAAATTTGAAATCACGTTTTCTGAAGAACAGTTAAATTTGCACTTACACCATTGTTCCACCGAAGAAGCGATGTGTTGCTTGCTACTTAAAATTCTACGGTAATTATATTAAAAAGGGAAGGGCGTTATATTAGCTACATATTACGACAGACGGTCGCCTACATCCATTGTAAATGGTTTACGTACTGAGCATTAATATTCACCAATGCATAGTATACAGTAACATCTATATTCAGGAATTGGTTTTGCCAACATTTTGAAAGCCTTTTATCTTGAGGGCTGTTTTGCATACCGGTTCGTTCATACATAAGTCAGACAGAAAGATATAGACTACTTATCCAGACACACATATTACGCGAAAAGCATGGTTTGAGAAGCAATTGAAACAGAAATGTACCCACTAAAATTCAACAGAAAAGATATAAGTCCGTAGTATAAGCCTATTAAGTAAAGGTCTAGAGAAACACACAGTCGCGGTAATGATTGAAAGAAGTGATAGGAAGGAGAGCGAAGACGAGGGAGGAAAGTCCACGGAGAGGGAGAGGATGAGAGGAAAGAAGGGAACTCGGGAGACCGGGAGAGGAGGATAGTGGGCAGATCGGCGGCAGTGGCAGAACCAGTGGCGGTAAACGACAAACAAAATGGCGGCAGCGAGACGATAATAGTGGGGATAGGACACGCATCGACATACATAACCTACGACTGCGAGACGATCGGTTCGGTCTACAAGATAACAGTGGAGCGAACAACATTGTAACCAGCACACAACCCGATGGTGGAATATAAAAGGCTTCCGAAACACGTTGGTGGCAAAGCCAAAATTTGTAAATATAGTTGCGACTGTAAGACTGTGTAAATATTTCAAACAAACTCGAACCGATTAATGAAACGGTTTTTAAACTGGTACGTTTAGTGCCCGTGCCGCCGGTTTTGTCTTTGGAAGCGGTTACTTATAACAGTTCGGCAATAAGCGCTTGGCTAGACCATTGGAACGACGGAGGATGCGGTATTCTTTACTACGCCGTCGAGTGGAGACAGCCGAAATTGTCGGACGAATGGGTTTCGAACGGAGGCGAACCCGTGACTCCGGTCGAACAGTTCATCACTGTCGGCGATTTAGAACCGGCTACTAAATATCAATTAAAAATCACCGCCCACAACGCTATCGGTTCGGCTTATCTCGTGTACAACGTCACCACTCTCACGGTCGACGGAGGTTTGTCACTTGACTATCAGATTTTCCTAGGAAACCCGGTCGATTGACAGTATTTTCGTATTCGGTTCCAGCTACCGTTATACCGTTTGACGTGTACACGGAATTGACTCCGGAATCTTCAGCTTTCACGTCGATCACCACGGCCGTATCTCTTATCATAGCGTTGACGTTTGTATCGTCCATCGCGGCGTTTACGTACTACTACAAAGTGATAAGTAAGTGTATTTTACCAAACGTATAGCGATAACGAGTAAACCGTTTGTTTTGTCGTGTCCAGAACGTCCGGACCGACCGGTGCCGAGAGATAACGACGAAAGGAATCGGGACAATCGATATTCGGTCAGAGGACAATCGCAACAAACGTTGAGCTGTGATTCGGCAACGTTCAAAACGGATTCTACGGGTATGCCGTGGACACTTTTTTTTTTCAAAAATCTATGAATAACAAGTTTTTTATTTAACGTTTTTGGGCTGGGGGTCGTTCTGGAATTCGTGTCACACAAATATGTTATTGACCAATAAAGACCAGGGTTCCAGGGTTCTAGAACACACGCGTTCATTTTCGACGCTAAAACATATCCACGATTCAAAGTTTTTCCGTGGAGCGGAGAAAAACAACTTTTCCCATAATTTTAATATATATATATATATATATATTTTATAGATTATATAGATGAAATATGTCCCTATGCCACGTTTGAATTGGCAAAGCCACCGCAAGGCGAAAGCACGTTCAGCGGTAACATCTACAGCGGCCCGTATCATTCGGTTCGAGGATCGTTTGTTTACCATCAACCCAAACCGTCGACTTCCGAATCCTTCAACTTTAGTGGCCAGGTAGTGATTACTTTAACGAACGTCTTAGGAAATAAGACGGCTGCCTAATGAACGCGGTTTGTTTCAGAGAAAAGAACACGAGTACACAAAAGTCCGACAAAAGGGCAGAAAACTCAGAGATCCGCATTCGGAAAGTCAAGGTAAAACAGTTCGACAGTTTTATATTGTAGATTTGTTTGTTTTCACGATTTTCGGCCACAATATTCAACGCGACGGCGAGTTTGCTGAACGCGTTAAAAATTTAAAAAAAAAACCATTTGGACGTGGGTGTCTGTTTCAGAATCGGATAATTTGGGCAGCACAGACTCCGAGGTTAAGCGGATTCTGTCACTCCACCTGCCTATATCTGAATACGACACTCACGGCAGTGACTCTGAAAACGACGAAGCGAGACGAAACCAATCGGCCAGCCAAGAGCTCGTCTCTTTCCGACGTCGCATGAGTAGAGGTCAGATTAGCACACAGTATTGAACATAAAAAAAACCCGTCATCATAGTGCTAGGCCTAATATTCGAATACATTTGTATTTAAATAAATTTACCAATAAAAATATTAACTAATGTTCCTTCATTCGTCGAATCGTGGTTAAATTAACTGTATTTACACTTGACCGATCCGTTAATCATGGTTGATAATTTTACTATATCCATGATTTGATTTTGTAGTATCGACTACCGTCAATATTTTAAAATAAGCATTACGTACCTTCAACTAGACTTGAATGTGAGGTTAATCTAGTATAAATAATTATGCGATAGATGTAGACCACGAAGACTCGAGCACATCGTCTGAGAACTCACTGTCGGACGTTCGAAAACCGCCGGTTTTGCCTACGGCCAGGAAACCCAAATCCAAAAGCCAAGGATTTTCGAAAAGGCCTTCGATAAGTAAAAACGGCTACCCGAGTCACAGCGAAGAAATACAATTCAGGTAAACTCACTCAACTAATTATCTTGTGGACACTTTTATGTGTATATGAGAAAACCTTTTTATCTACATTTAGACAACACTGAGTGTGCAACCCTTGCACATCAATAATGTGTTATGTTTTTTAAAACTAAAAATTGCAAAAAAAAAAACCGTTACGTTTAGTTATCATTGATTCCTTATCAAAACCAAAAGAGATTATTGATAAGGGATTTGATAAGATATTATTAGACATAATGGAGTCGATTTTAGTCGAATAACCTCGACGACCTATTGATTATTATTGTAATAAATTGTATGAATACATTTTGTAAGGCTCAACATTTTGTTTTTGTTATCACTTTGCAAATTAATGTTATTTATGTTTTAGCGAGAGGTTAAATCCGCCGGCGAGATTTTCTGACAGACCAATGCGACAAAACGAAGGAAACGAATTCGAGCGACGCCAGAAGATATCGTCACATCAGCGAAAATCGCCAAGGAGACTTGTACAAGAAACGTCGTTTCAAATAGACGTCTAACGAATTACCAAATATCAGCATAATTGTTAACACGGGAAAGTAAATCAATATAATGCGACGCTATACAGGTAGCCCGCAGAATCATTAGATTGCCTACCTTTAGCCCCTTAAAACGTTTCAACCACAATGCAGTGCTTGTAGTAGTCGGATTAGTAATTTTCAATTTTTCGTCTTCCCATATTATATTGAACGTCATAAAAATATGTCTTAAGAAACTCGCGCAGTTAAAATAATATATTGTTACTGATCATTTTAAGGCGCATGGGATAGGCAGCCACTAGTGAATCTGCTGGCAATATCATAGTCCCCCTTCGCATCAAACTTTTATACTTACACTTTATCATTAACGGTATTTGATATAATAATGTATCCAATATAAGATCAATCCAAGAAATTACTTATTCGGTAATTCGTTTTCGTGTTTATACATTTCTACAGTTTTTATACACATTTCATTTTTATCGTTCTTAGAGTTGGACACTATTGGAATAACATTTTTTTTTTATCTATACAAAACGGTTAATAGAAATGATCTTTTATAATTTAATGTACCTACGATTTATTTATTATTTGCTGTAATGTCTAAATAATAATTTAAAATCGATACAATTTTTGAACTATGGAAGACGAGAAAAGTAATTAAGATAATGTTTTTATATACAATTGAAAAGCTCGTGAAGACAATACTTTTGTTTGTTATTAATAATAAATTTTATATAATCTAAATTTACTTGTTATTTATAAATAATATATTACTTAACCAATTTTTTTTATCTGTCGAATTGTTATTAATGTTGGTGTCACGAATTAAAAATCAACTATAATTTATTATCATATTTTTAAAATGTTGTCCAACTCTAATAATTTATTGTTTTATACTAGAAATAAAAATTAAATAAGATCACGTAGGTAATTGTTTAACGATTACATTTTTCATTGTTATGTGATTTAGTTTAATACTATTTACTTTATAAGAATAGTATTTATATTGGCGAGTTTTCGTAATGTAGTACCGTGTTGATTTCTTTTCCACGGATTTTTCAACAAGACTTAACATTAAAGTTTTTATTATTAAAAAAAATTGTTAAGTATTTCTCTTTCTTGACTTTGTACAATTATTTACATTTGATACCGTGGTATTTTCAGAGCCAAACGATTTGTACGTTTACAATAACCAAACTATAATTAATGCTAAACACTAAGAGTAATTTAATTCATCGTCTAGTCATTTTAGTTTGTAGACTTTACAATAGTAAATAACAGTATTAGAAATACATTATTGAGATAGTACTTTGATTATAATTATAATAACTGTCAATTGTTAACCAGACGACGTTTTAGCTGTAGCCTATTATACCTACTTAAATATAATTATGTGTAGACTACTCAAGTTTTTATTTATTATATGTGTTAACTAAAAAATAGTTTCATTATTATTGTTATTATTAATACATTTTTTTAATATTGTATAATTAAATTATATATATATATGTATATTATTACGTTTAATAATAATCAGATATGTATTGGTTATTGCACTACTCATAAACGTTTAATTTAATTTTGTTAAAAATTACCGACGTCGTCCAATGTTTGTAATTAGAAAAAAAAAATTATTTATTATAAGAATTAGACGTTTTATTTCTCAAGTACATTAAAATAAATAAGACTCTAGCAACAAATAACATTTACATTGTTTGTGGAAAATACCAAGTAAAATAAATTTAAACGCGTCCCAAGCACAAATTTTAATTCGCGTTTTGAAAAATATGTATACCGTACCTATTTATAATATTGTAGTCATCATCATATCCAGTATGTAATAATAAATAAACTGATACATTTGTGTTTAATTGCAGAGTGTTATAATTATTATGGGCAAAGCCCAAAATGGCGGAGACATAATATTATTGTGAGTGACAAGTGAGGTAATTTTCAAAAACAATGTGTTTATTAGAGTGGTCCTTAAATTGGCTTTGGTGGAATTTCAACCAGGACTCCTTAATCAGTTCAAAATACACAAAAAATAAGCCACCAAAAATGTAGGCCCTTAATAATTTTGAAGTTAACACGTGCCTGTAGAATTAGTTTTTAAAGGACTGAATAAGCGTGGAAATTATTAGGACATACATACAGTTCAAGTCTCAGTTGAGTTTTTCAAACAAATTTTTTTTTTGAAATTATAAGTTTTTTTTACGTTGAAAACGTCGGTGAAGTCAGATTTTAGCAGTCAAACTTCCTTTTAAAGTAAGAAGTAATATCTTAATTTTTTTAAAAAAAAATTTTAAAATTACCATTTTTTTAACACATTATTTTAACGTTTAACATAATTATGAAAACGAAAATTGAATAACTTACTTACTTTTGAAGTTACAAGTACAAACTATCATACTCCATGTTTGTCTACTGGGCAGCTGTTCACGTACTACACGGAAAATCATATTTTGGTAATATCTTACAAACATTTTTAAATAAAACGGCATTAAACGATGATGTTGACTTCAAAAATGTAATAAAAATGTTTTTGGCTAACCGTCATAACGTGGCTATGATAAACCAAATTCAAATTATTCTCAACTCTCTTTCGATATTGAAAGGATGCACGTTAAGGGAACCTAAATTAATAAACACATGTACTACTCCGATAATTTCTACAGCACAACGTTTTCATAACAAATTAGAATCATTTGGGTCCCGTTCAGATTTTATACGGTGTCACACGTTTGAGCAAATGGTTGATAACCAACTTTGTTCCAACGTAGACATTGGCCATGATGATTTATATTAAAAACCAACCGTTTTAATATATCAACGTTGTTTATAGTTTATTACAGCTTAGAAATAAATGATTCGGAGTGTTACGCATTTAAGAATGAAATTACAAATAAATAGGTGTACCTCACGTGTATCACGCTCAATGACCAATTTGTTGAAAATTAAATCATACAAAAAATTAAAACAATGTTGTGTACAAAATATTCAGTTATAATAGTTCCTATTTTTCATTTCATTATTTTTTTTGTTTTTTACAAGTCAAGCAACTATTAAATTAAATCATCTTCACATCGAATGAATTCTCCAATATCAGCTTGATTAAAACACACTACAGATAATGGATCTGTGTGTTTACATTCGGTAGTGCTTTTGGCTGCAACACCGAAACCCTAAAACAAAGTTAAATTTAAACCATGGACGAAAGCTAAAAGGATTTCTATTTTTAGCTTAGATATCATAAAAGTTATAATTATTATTGTTTTTAAATAAGTAATGACCATTTTAAGATTAATCGTTTAACAAAAAAATTTAAAAATATTGTACTTGTACCACAACAAAACAAAACAAATATTTTAACAACTTGTTTTAAAGTTTTATAAAATAAACAGTTTTAGACGTGTTCCAAATGGTTCATTGTTAAAATTATTACATAAATATTCAGTTTTATCGTCAAACTTACTAAAGGAACGTCGCTCATTGAAAAAACAATAACTCCTTGATATTGAGTTGTACTTTCTGTTATTCGTCCCAAACCAGATTTCAACACGTTGTGACCATATAAAAACTGTTGTTCAGCTGCTGGTTTTATCCACATTTTATGCTAAAATAAAATAATAATTTATTTAACTATGTCTTATAGTATTTTTATAATGCTATCTATTTACATACTTGGGCATAGGGTGCTAGGTAATCTAAAGAAGTTATGTGTAGTCTGAATTTTCCAGACTTGGTAAATTTCCCAAAACAAGTTCCTATACTAATTATATTATCGGGATTCATCATAGATCCCATATTCAATACTTTTTCAGATACATAATAAACACGACTTTTCTTTTCGCGAAAACAATACTTCCCGTCTGAACGATCAATTAGCAGTTTTATATTTGAACCAATACTAAAGAACACAATAATAAAGTTTAAACATTAACTTCCTTTGCACATCAACTTTATTTGTACCATCATAAAGATTTGCACAGATTTTCATCATCATTCAATAAATTAGTAAAATTATTTAAATTAATAAACAAAAGATAAAAGATATTTAAAAATGTTACACATACAAATAATTACTTACTATTTGGATAACTTTTCAAAAAAAACCTTGGTCTGATCATCTGCTAACTGTTTCATTTTTATATATTTTGTTTAAAGGTACTACCTACAATTTTTAGGTATTTTGAATCACAATAAAATATAAAAAGAGTATACAAAATTCAAATAACAACTAGGTAGGTAATATCGTATACTAGTTGATGAATTATTCTAATTTCTAATGCACATGGTTGAAGAATGAGCAATACCGCAGGTGTAAACCTAACCCCACTTCTTGACCAATTATCAAATCTTATCACAAAATAAACTATAGAATAATACCACGACAAAACAAAATAGATATGTTAACAACTTGTTTTTAAATTTTCACAACATGGCTGCTGATATTGTACCACAAGAAATACACGGCCGCCCAAAAACGTCAGCAGCCATTTTGCGGTTATCACAAATTGCGGGCATACCAATTTTTTTTCTATTGTTACCATAGATGTAAAATGAGTCGCAATTTTATCGATATCAATTTTGTTTAGTGATAAGGACTTCTGATATTGAAACATATTTAGTACTTAGGTATTTTACTTACAAATTACAATTTGTAATATGTATTTATATTTTTACTTACGTTTTTTTTTCTATATAATGTTTACTTGACATTAGTTCCGTAAGACTAATTTTCATATACTAACTGTAAGACGTCATACAAATTATTAAAATAGCATTCATAGTATTAAATTACATTTGAGAGATATATTTTGTTTTGTTTAGAAATTAGTATGTCTTCAAGTAAAAGCAATAAAAGCATAATCTTTTATAATGGGTTCCGCGAGAAATCGTACTGTGGTTATTGCAAGAAGGACAAATCGAGTTATAGCCATGGTAATATAGTTATACTTATAAAAAAAAAAAAAAAAAAAACAATTTATGTATATTTTGTCCAAGGTATGTGGGCTTCAAGTCTTACTGTGCAAGCATACCAAGATTTGATCGATCGTGGATGGCGTCGAAGCGGCAAATATTGTTACAAACCCACGATGGATAAATCGTGCTGCCCATTATATACTATAAGGTACTAATTAGTTATTAGTACACTGTTAAACTTAATCTGTTGTTGGTATCGATATTAGCGTTTCGCTAAAATTAAACTTGTATAATAGGGACCACTTGTTCATAAAGTAATAGATTGTTTTGACACTAGATTATCAATATAAAATTATAGAAAAAAAAAAAAATGTTAATATCTATTTGTGGGTATGATGACCGGTCACACACGTAGCACCGCATTATGTTAGCGTCACGCTTGCACGAGACTAACCGTGTTATATATATATTTATATAAAACATAAATCATTTTTTTTCATACTTTTATAAAATTGACAAAAAACGCAAAAAAGTGTCATTTGTTTTTAAATATTAACTATATTTTAACAGTTATAAAAATAAATAATATAAGTCTATATAGAGTTGTTTAATTTATATAAAATAAAATTTTTTTTACTATCAAAAATTTATTTTAAATTGAAATTTTTAATGAAATATACTATAAGTAATCCAATTTTTGTAGGATATAAGTAGACAAACAGTATCTTTGTTTCACTACTCTATGTTCATGTAATAATCGACAGAAACAAAAAAACGATTATGTTAGCATAACGCTAACACGATACCAATCATGTTATAAAACATAACTATAACTATGACGGGTTAATATAGTTTCATATTTGTAGGTATGATTAAAATGTTAAACGAGTAAAACTGATGCAAATTCAAAGATTTTTTCCACCCATTAAAACTCAAAATATTTGCTAAAATACATGTAATGTTACATTTTATTATTGAATTATTACTTATTAATAGATGTGACGCATTAGACTTCCAACTGTCAAAGTCTCAAAAAAAAATCATTAAGAAAGTTTCCCGATTTTTAAAAAGTGGAAAACAGGAACAAAATATTTGGAATTCTGAAGAAGCGCAAAGAGAACCTCAAGAAAAATTTGATTCCTATGGTAATATTTCATACATAATAAGTAACTAATTTTTTTACAAAAAATTATATTTGTAAAACGAGTAATAACTTTCTATTTTAATGGTATGTTATTTTATGTTTGTATAATGAGTTTTCTTCAATTTTGCTACATTTATTTTGAAAATATGCTGTACTAAAATCTTGTTGATGTTGTGTGGATAATTATAACAATTAATTGTATAGGTAGATAATATATTACAACAAATTTAATATTTGCATTTACAGATATGCATGATATTGATAAAAAAATGGAAGTTGTGGATTCAAATAACAGTAGTATTGAAGAACTTAATACACCGAAAAAAGATTTACAAAATTGTGCTTCAACTACAAATTCTTGTGAAACAACAAATATAGGTATAATTAGTATTATATAGGTATAAGTATTTTGTATTGAACTTTTTTATAAAGTATGAAAACATTAAATTATTGATTGATAATTTATGTTGTTAATGACATAATTAAAATCGGACATTAACATTTACGTTTTATAGAGAAAAATGACGAGGTTTTAACCAAATCCCTAGATGATGTAAACCAGCAATCTAAAATGATAAAAGAAAAGAAAACAATTAAACCTGGTATAGAAGTATATTGAAAAAGGTAAATAGTTGAACGAAAAACTTATAAGACATATGTTTTAGGTAAAGGAGCAGATCCAAACTTACCTAAATGCAAAAAAAAAAAATTATTACGTATTGAAAAGAAACTTGCAAAAAACCCAAATGCAGTTATTACCACTTTGACACCTCAACAAAAGACTGTTGAAGATTTTATCGCTGAAAATGATACTGTATCCGAAGAGCAAGTTTATAATTTAAAAGTATGAATTATTTTTTAATTTATTAAATAGGTGAAATGGGACATAGGAAAAAATTGTACCGATTGCTGTATAACTTTAATGGGTATGAATAAATTTCACATTTTACTACTAAAAAGACAAGACACTTTTTTCCTATATTACATTTTATATCTTAAATGGGTCAGTATTTTTACACGCTAAAAAAAAAAAGTTAAAACAAATTCCTTTAATTAGAATTATTCTCTCCTGAACTTTTTTGAAACACATAATTTTTATTACTTATTACTAATTAGATATTAAACAATATATGTAATTAGGAAATAAGCATTTAGACAATATAAATATCACACAACTTTTTCCCAAAATAAAAAATGTATTTTAGATAAAATTACTACGGTTGACACCATCAGCTAGTTCATTTGAATCTGAATATGCTGTATATAAATTATATCAAACTTGTGTTCACGGCGATACTGATGATCAATGTACAAGGCAACAATTTATTCGATTTCTTGTCGATTCCCCTCTTAAAGTAAGTGTTTAATACGTTACTTATTGTATCTGTGTTTTGCATGTAAGGTGTCTCTGGTCAAGACCGGCACAATGGAGTTTGCTCAAACATTTTCAGCTGGGGCTTCTCTCTTTGCCAAATATCAAATGGCTGTGCACAATGACCAACCAAATGAATGTGATACGGCACAATACATAGAGTTTCTTGTCGATTCACCTTTACAGGTATTAATGGTCGTACACAGTGGTGTGTAGTCACACAAAGCGGCGCACTAATTGATTTTTTTTTAAATTTGTCGGTTCTGATCTCACCACCTTTTCATATAATTTCAACTTTAAAATTTAAATTTATTTAATAAATAGTCAATGTATAATTGAGCAGCTATTTTTTTCTATTTTATTATCAGTTCGAAAACACAGACGTCGCCGATCATCCTGGTTACGGTTCGTTTCATCAGCAGTATTGGCTCGGTAACAAATTAATTGCTGTAGGTGTTATCGACATCTTACCAAAGTGTGTATCGTCAGTTTATCTGTTCTACGACCCAGATTATTACCATTTAGTATTAGGAACCTATAGTTCATTGAGGTAAATTTATCAGTTAATAATATTATATACATCAATACCATTACAATATTGTGTGTACTTTTTTTTTTTTTTCTAGAGAGATATGTTTGGTAAGACAACTACATAAAATGTCACCAGATTTGAAATATTATTATATGGGCTTTTATATTAACTCCTGTCCAAAAATGCGTTACAAAGCTCATATTAAACCATCATACTTATTATGTCCTCTTCAATACACGTGGCATAATACAGAAATATGTATACCAAAATTGGATAAAGCAAAGTATGTAGTTTTTAATGATACTGATAAGGAAGAAGACGGATCTAGAGTCGAAGATGTAAGAAAATAAATTATAAATTTAATTATAATAAACTTTCACACAAACTAAACACATTAAATGAAATCGTTTTAGGTTCCTATGTTATATTGTGGAAAACTTATGACCCATTCAGTTTATAAGAGAATAACTAAAGTTGACATTCAAGATCAACTGTTGGAGTATATTAAATTAGTTGGACCAAATCTTGCAAAACTGTTGATTTATTGTGTCTTAGATTAGTTAACATATTTTGTACAGAAAACTAAGCGAAACTATAAACAGTATGGTTTATATTATGTTAGGATTTTACAATAAACAATTTATATACCTACATCATCAAATTACTATTAATAACTATAAATAATCACAATACACTAATCGAAACCAACACCTTCGCCAGCAGCACGACCCATACTTTCTTTACCAACTCTGTAATAATTGGCCGATATCGGTCTGTAATAGAAAGCTTTGTAGTCTGATCGTTCTTTCATCGCGTCTTCAATTTGTTTTGTTAACATTCTGAAAATGTTGATATGATAAAATAACATAAGGTAATATTTTTAGCCAAAATGATCATATATAAGGAGTTTTAAAAAAATATATACATAGTAAACCTGGAAAAAAATTAGTTTATAAAATATATTTTTTTCTAAAAAGTAACTTTTTCAAAGTTTTTAGAATGTAAATTGTATTTTTATTCTTAAATGTCTAATAATTGATTAATACAATTTATGTAAGTATTTTTATACTTAATGGTACGAACACATTTTTATTAATTTAAAAACAGTTATAATTGTTACCTAATTTTGAATTTTTCATCTTCTTCATAAAGCGTGTGCAGGTATTTTTCATATTGTTGTTGTGGATTGGGATAAATGTAACGTGCCATCCAACGTGTAATTGGATGCTGAAAAAAAAAAATGATTTTTTTAAAATATAATACAAATGTAAAATAACAAATTGATGGGCAATTTACTTTATGGTACTCCCAGTGCTTAGGTCTATAGCCTTCTGGTATTGGAGCTAATTTAGCTGGTCCGATAAAGATATTTGTGTAGGCAATTACAAGTGTTATGGGAATAACACCAACCAGAACGTAATAATGAAGTAAATCCTTAAATTTGGTCCATTGCCAACGTGTCTCCTTAATCAGCATCGTATGATGTCCACCCATGTTACGAACCGGTACTAAATCTAGCAAAATACACATATATATACTTTCCAAAAATACTTATTTAAGCCTAGTTGAGTCATTGCACAGATCATTTTATAATTAACGTGCAGATTGTTCAACTGTTAAAAATGACAACGGCACATATTATAAACATTTAAGAAATGCAGAAAAAGTTATTGTATAATATATCTATTTGCAACACTATAACATATCAGGATTTCATAGCGATAAAACTATTTAAATAAAAACCGGGGTTATATATTTAAACTATGCTGAAATACATTCGTACCGTCGTCCATTTTGACCGTCGTCACATTTTAACAATCAAATTTTAAGTTTGTAAAATATAAAATAAAAAGTATGAAAATATTATATAAATCTTACCACAGTTTTTTAATACGTGATTTTTATTTAAATTTAAACATTTTTTGAGAGGTGCGGCAAGCTTTAGTGAGCTCCAAATTGCCATTTTGATATTGCATATGCAATATTAAGGTTTAGTGTAGAATTTGAACAGTATAGAAACGAAACTAATAACTATGAAAGTAGTATTTACGAATCGAGCATTAAGAAATAAGAATTTTCGTGTGAAAAATAATATGATTCAGGGTTCTATTTCTTATCAAATCGGTAAGCCTAATTTTCTTATCGTAATGCCCTTGACAATTTACGTTTTCACATAATTTTTTTTTTTACTATTTAGTAAAAATTGTTTAAAAAAAACTGTAAAATTCGTGTTTAATATTACTTTCTTGAAAAAGAATTTCAAAACATAAAAATTAGCCATTATTTATAAAAGGAAATGTGAAATAATTTTTCAACGTATCACATGGGAATATTAATTTAACGGACATTTGGCTACACTGTTTAAAACGTCTGTTTGTCAAAATGCAACGTGTGAACAAAAAAATCGATAAACGCTATTTATTTTCATTTTTTTTTCCTTTTTCAGTTTTCTTACCGTGGTTATTTTAATTTGGTTTTATATATCCAAATGCGTATTTTTTAAGTACAAGAGTTTTGGTTGTAGAATGTCAATCCGTCTCTTTGTTTAATTTTTGTTCGCAGACTTCCAAGCACATCGCAAGTCGTCAATATGAAAAAAAATCAGTAATAATGGTGTTCGAATAAGGCCAAACCAACGCCTAACTCCGTAACGACTGCTGTAGAAGTCAAATCCAACTGTTATCGTAAAGAAACTACAGTGAGTTGCTATTATTACGTTTACCCAACATTTAATTTTTATTTCATTTAAACATTATTAATGTCCACGTAAGGTGCTCAACAGTAAGTTAGTTTTTTTTTTTAAATATTGTTTTGCCTAAAACAAAAATAATTGTCCTGTAGCCCTGGCGTCGTATATTATGATAATAATGATAATGACACTATATTGAAATTTAGGAAGAATTATGTTTTTTTATGTCTTAATACTACAATGGTAAAACAATTTTTAACATACTTTAATTTCATATTAATTTTTTTTTTACATTGTAAACCTCTATTTAAATATTTTTTAAATTATATTAGACGTTTTAGTGCCGGGCACAATTTTTTCTTGCCAGATTACTTTTTTTTTTTATACTAATTATAAAGTCTACAGACTCCTCTATTTCTAAAGCTATAGCTAGTTGAACTTTGGAAATTATTGTTGCACTAGTATACGAGTATGATATGCATTGGACGGCCGTGGCACCCCACTTCACCGCTAAAATAAATAATAATAGTACTCGATGATAATGTAAGTGAAATGGTATTATTGAAATGATACCTATGTAAAATTTGGGAGAAGGTTACAAATAAAAATAAAAACTACGAGAACCGAGTGAATGCTGTGACTGATGGATGATAATGTGGGGCGCCGCGCCCAAATTGTGCATGTTAAACATCGGTATCCGGGAATCCCTGATTTCAAATTTATAATCAGCGGGGTGGAATAAAATTCAAATTAATTAGCCAAAAAAGAGGAAATCTGGTAAAATAAATGTATACCCTTGATTAGTAAGTTTGTTAAATCTGTGTGATAAATTGGGATTTATGACACGAAAAAATCTTGACATTTAATGCTCGACTGTAAACTAAAAACATAGTCAAATGTCCTTGAAACTGCAAAGCGTAATGGGTAATATGGTTCCAGATGGTCGGTTATCAGTATCCGTTCTAAACTACCAGTAGGGTATTCTAATAACAAACCCCCTAGGTCTATATTATTAGCAATCCGGGGGGTCGATTCCACTAATGCGTGATCAAGACGATCTTATTGGTCGCAACTAGCAGAATTATTACTGTAGTAGATGTAAGAGTTTTTGCTATTTTACTATTGCGTGTCAAGCAGACTTGGCAGAATGGTTTTCTAGTAATTTCGCCGAAAACTTAAAAAATTCAGTCATTTTGAATGTGGTTCCTTTATCAGTTGATTTGTTATTTTTATCATTTGATACTGATTTTGCTGTTTTTTACTCTAAATAATTTATTTATAATAATAAATTATAATACAGTTAGTATTTGTTCATTGTTTAATCTCTTTGTGATTTAGTGATTTTATTATATATTTAAAATGAATAACCTTATTTTAAATGTTCGATTGTTACTGCACAAAGAAGTTTGAGAAATTTAATGCGATCAAGGGCAGCTAATATTGTGTGCTACTCTTAAGTTAGAAAGGCTTTCTAGTGGTAGCAGGAATATTTTTAATTTACCACACACTGCTTTTTAAATATCCGTATGTCAATTTAGCAAGGCTACATTAGAATGCTTTATTAAAGAACTAACTCCATTCTTAAAAATAAACCAGAAAAGTGATAGAATATCAGTAGAATCCAAAGTAATGTAAAATTATGCTACAGTCAAGGTAGATTGAACCACCTAGGGTACGGGTTTAGAGAACACGTTAAATGCGCTAAAAAACATAAAATCTTGTTATGACACCAACTATAAATAATGCGACAAACACGCATTAGTGGAATTAAATTTGTCTTCTAAGATTTATTATAACATTTTGAGAGCCACGGCAATGAATATACTTTTGCTAATCTTTGTCTTATGACCTCCCACTTTAAAAAAAACTTACTCTATTGATGGAATTTTAATTGCATAATATAAATTTTATAATACTAAGTGATGTACAGTTAAATGATAGCTAAAATCAGTGTTCTGCTGGTTTAAAAACGATAAGTAATTAGATACATTGTATAGGTTAGGTTAGGTGCATGTTCATTTTTTAGTCCTAAAACATACTCTTTTAATAATATTAATTAATATTTATTAGGGACACGTTAAAAATCAGTAATAATTTGAATGTCTCACCCCTTAATACTTTTTTAAGTGGTATAAAAATTTGGTACAAACTTGTGTTGTTTTTGAAAAGTTTTATAGGTCGCGCTGCTCATTTTTAGTAAAATTGAAAAAATTGTTTAGGATTTCTGTAGAAATAATTTGTTTGGTGTATTTTATGTGTCAAATATTGTATTTATGCTGTGGAGTTAGATTTTGTATAGTCAAATACTGTAATTGCGTACGTCGTACAATATTTTTCACGCTCCTGTCCCTACTTTCTTTGTTCCTCAATATGCAACGTCTTATGTCTGTAATTATCCTTTAAACAGAATTTAGAATAGAATTGGAGAATGCAATACCATTGTTAATTTTGATTTCTTTTGCCATAGCAATCCTACCAGTCCTAAAGAGGTCGATTTTATCATGAATAATTATTTTATCATTCTTTAGTGTATTAATTAGTGTTGTTTAAGGTTGAAATGTAAGTTTATAATTTTGCCATTATGTAGGTATAATTAATCATTATGCTGTACTTGAACCCTATTGTGTACGCAAATAAAAAAAATATTATCGTGTGAGACATTTTAATTTCAAAAATTATAATTTTTTGCACCACCCTAATGATCATATTAAAAACCATGTTCTTATGTTAGATATTAGGAAAACATTTTTTTAAATCAAAACGTTATATTTGTTTTGTTGATTAATGTAATTTGATTTAGTTTAGTTCTTATAAAGAGTGTCTCAAGTTATTTTAAGAATTTCACATATGCTTATTTGTTTATATTATGTAAAATTATCGAAACAACGTAAGACACCCTTTAAAGATATGAACAATTATACAATTGAACATAAAAATGTACAATTGTAAGTAAATAAATAAATACATGTATTTGTGTAGATTAGTTGATAAAACTATTTCAAAGTAAGCTTTCGTGTAAAATTGATATAATAAAAAAAAAATAAACTAGCTATTAATTAATAATAAATATCTAGGAATTAAAATGGTGTTGGAATTTATTTATTAGGCCTAAAAAAAGAAACAGAAATGGATGAAGGGATGGATCCGACGTTTGCAATGAGACTGAGGGCGCAGCTGTCAAGAAGTCCAGATTATGTGGTTTTAAAAAACCGCCAATTACAAGCTGCCATTGATATGAAAACTCAATCAGTTGAAAAAGAAAACACCTTAATGGGTTTTAAAAGACTTGAAGAAATGGAAGTCGATGATGATCCAGGCCATTCAAAATCTTTTAAGAAGTTTAAAACTGATCAAGCAAATACGTCTTTCCAATACGAACAAATGTCACTTAATAACTACAGAGCTGACCGATTTATACCATATCGAGAAGCACACAATCTCACAGCAAGATTTAACATCATATCAGATATAAGAAATGGTACCGATTATGGGAAAAAAGATTTTCAAAGTGAATCTACCAATAAAGATGGTGCATACAAAGCTATACTTCATAACGAATTGCTCGGATCTAGTGTTGGTGAAATTGGAATGCAAGATAAAAATCGTGATAGGTTAGCTACCAAACGAAATTTATTTCAATTTTATTCTTCGAACCATGAACAAGTTGATAATATACAATCTTGCTCTCCTTATTCACTATCACCACTTGGCGCCAAAAGCCAAGAAATCTTACGATCGCCGAGAAAGATACCTCGCAAGATATCGAGAGTACCTTACAAAGTTTTAGATGCACCTGAACTACAAGATGATTTTTATCTAAACTTAGTCGATTGGTCGTCGTCGAATTTACTTGCTGTCGGATTAGGTAGTTGTGTCTATCTATGGTCAGCGACTACGAGTAAAGTAACCAGAATTAGTGATTTGTCGTCAGATGGCAATGTAGTAACTTCAGTTGCCTGGAATGATAAAGGTAACTACTTAGCATTTGGTACTCAAGAAGGATCAGTAGAAGTTTGGGATATTGCTGCAGAGAAACAAGTCAACAGCTTAACAGGTCACGCAGGAAGAGTTGGTGCTATTGCGTGGAATGGTGATGTCGTTTCGTCAGGTAGTCGTGATCGTAATATATTTTTAAGAGATATGAGAGGTCCAAGTCTTTCAACGTGTCGAAGATATTCCGGCCATAGACAAGAGGTTTGTGGCTTAAAATGGTCTCCGGATAACCGTTACCTAGCATCTGGAGGAAATGATAATCGGCTATATGTATGGAACACACATGCATATAATCCGCAATTAACCTACAATCAACACACTGCAGCGGTTAAAGCAATTGCTTGGTCTCCACACCAGCGAGGTCTTCTGACTAGTGGTGGTGGTACGGCCGACAAATGTATTCGCTTTTGGAACACTCTCACTGGACAACCTATGCAATGTATTGACACTGGATCCCAAGTATGTAATCTTGCTTGGTCTAGGAATACGCAAGAGCTTGTGAGCACCCATGGATATTCACAGAATCAAATAGTTGTTTGGAAGTATCCGTCTATGAGCCAAATTGCCAAGCTCACGGGTCACACGTTCAGGGTATTATATTTGTCGATGTCACCAGACGGAGAGTCCATTGTAACCGGAGCCGGAGACGAGACATTAAGGTTTTGGAATATATTTTCAAAAGCGCGGTCGCAGAAAGAACCTAAATCTAAACTTAATCTTTTTACAAACATACGATAGGTGTTTTATTGTAATTGGGCATAAAAATTTAACTGTCTTGATCTCTCTTTCTTAGAAATTTTATATTTTGTTTGCCTCTAAGCCATTATTTTGTTTGTTGTCTATTGAACAAACTTAACGTATATTTTAATTTTTTTTTTTTTTTTGTAAACAATTTGCGCCATTTTATTCATTTTTTTAAAAACAATTGAGAACTACATTGAGAAACTATCATTTTTTTTTTTTTTTTTTAATCTGAAGTATTATTTTACTGCACAATAATTCATTTTTGGTGAGTAAAATTTGGTAATTAGTTTAAATATATATATTATTAAATGTATCCAATTTTGATAACACCCATAAACTCAATAATTAAATGGTAAATTAAACACTTTAAAATACTAACATTTTTTTTTAATGTTTTTTTATTTTTCGAGGAGTATTGATGTCTCACCATTTGAAAAATTTATCCATTCTTGATACCTATTTATGTTAGCTACCGCTCATCTGTTTTCCTGTTTTAAAAAAAAATATTGTTGAATTTTCTATAGTTTATATAATAACAATTTCCTAAATATGCCAAAATAGAAGTAGGTATTTAAGTAAAGTATCTCAACAAATGCCTAATTATTCGACCAATATATTAATTAACATGTGTACAATATTTTAGATTTGTTGTTTTTTTTTTTTTTTAATTGAAAAAAATAAAATAATAATTAAATTTGTATAAATTAAAATTGTAATCATAGTCATTGTTAACATTGGCAACAAATTATTATCTCATTTTTTTTTTTTTTTTTTTGTCAATATATTTTGTGATTTACATTAAAACGACATTGTATGATTTATGTATACATTAACACAAAGAATAAAATCTATTTTCATAATGTATGCTGAGTGTATATGATTATTTAAACTAGGTACCTATACTCTTGATTTTCTTCTCATTGTTTATAAAATACCAAACATATCTACTAGTATTTTAATTTTTCTTTTTTTTTCAATTATATTTTTATCTCGGTTAAATATCTATTTTATTGGCATTCAAATAATCACTTATGTTATAAAATGCCATTTTGATTGTTACTAAACTTTTAAGTCTGGATACTTAGTCAATCTAAACGTTTTAAATTAGGTAATAGGAAAATGTATACACTTACTAAATATTAATTATGAATTGTTATTATTATTATTATTATAACCCCATGTACAAAATCAAGGTCCACCAAAATACTCACTAGATTAGAAAACTACAGGCTTGTATAATTATGTTTTTTTTATTGTGCACAAATATTTTATAACTTATTTATTTGTAAAGGATTTACAATTATTAATTTTTGGGTGATTAAATGAAATTTTAAATAAATGTCTTTGTTTTATTGCATAACGTATTACTATTATTAATTATTATCCAATATAAACATTGTTGAGTTGATTTTATTTGATTTATATAGAAATTCGTATCGTTTCCAAAGTATATATACATGATTTTGTTCTATATCGGTGCTTAATGTAATAGAATGATTTATTACAAATTTCATCTATAATTTTGGAGAATTGTACAATTTTAATGCGTAAATATTATTGTAGAGTGTGTTAAGTTAAATTTTGAAAAATGCTTGTGCATTACATCGGGTCTACCGACACTGCGCCTTGTCTCTTCCGACTGTCGATCTATCCATTCTTTCATCTACAGATTTATAAAAAAAAAAAAAAACAGCGATAGTGTTCATCAATATTCAATTGTAAGCAATCAGGTAGTATTAAAGTATTTTTATTAAATTAAGACGTATTGAAATGACATACTGTAAAATTTTTAAATTAAAAAAGAAATATGTATGATTAGGGATGATTGACTGTGTACCGTTAGTACAAGTGGTATTGCAGTATAATGATATTAAAATTTTCTTGTAAAAGGTGTACTGTTCAATAACTTTTCAAACAGCATAAGTGTCTATTACCGGTAATGAAGGTATGTAGTATCGGTATACCGACATTTTATGGTAAATCTTTTACAGCCGGTATTTCGGTATACCTTTTGAAACCAATACCATCGCCCCTAAGTATGATTTTTGATCTAAGGTTGCCTTTATGATGATATGCAAGTCTTCAAAAAATATAATGTTTAATACTTAGTGAAAAGAGGTGTTCAGGTATATTAAAAGTATTTGAAACATTAGCTCACTTTATTTTGATTTGGAGCTGAAATAAGACCTAGTGCTAGTCTTGTGGTTGTGACACAATATGTTTGGCTTTACATTGATTCATGTTATGCACTAATACAGAGAAATTGTGACTAGTTGATGTATTAAAACTGTTAAATGTTTAAGAATTGGTAGTTTTCTCTGATTATCTTAAAAATATAGAAAAAAAATGTATCATGATAAAAATACATATTGATATGATATAAGGTTTGGTTTAAAACTGAGTCAATACTTCATCTAGTTTTACTATACTTAATTTAAAAAAAAAAATCATAAAATTAAGGATTAAGGTTATATTTAACCTGTTTACTGTTGCTAAAAATGTTGGATTCAGTTAAGGGCACAAATTTGTCCTAACACGTCTTAAGGTCTCAAATTATTTATAAAAAAAAACATCATGTCAACATAAGGAAAATGGATTTTTTAATTTTATTTGGACAATACACATAGTACATTGAGCATCGATCGTTAGGTACTGTTTTACTTACAGAAAAAAAAGGAAAGCTATATATTATGTTGTTAACGGTTTCAAGTTGATAATGTAATTTATATGGGCTGAAAGGACGTTTTCAAAAATTACATTTATTCTGCGAATCGACTTTTTTTTTTTTTTGGAAAAGAAAATCATATCAAGCACTAAAAGTAAGGCAAGGGTTACGTTTACCAATTTATTACTGTAAAATTAAAATTTGTGTTGTTAAAAAAAAAAAAAATGAATAATAAAACCACATGTTTAAAGCAATACGAAGAATACGGAGTTAGAATTTATATATGTTATAGAATTACTAAAACAGTGGTTTGAATTTCGATTAAGTAAGTTGCTGGTACATTACAATGTGTATTTTAGTCACTTATGCTACAGTCGTTAAATACAGATTTCAACAGGTCATGTTTTTATTTCAGTACAAAATGTCTATGAGAGATTTAGTAGAAGGAGAATGCGGAGGGTCCAACTCTTTGGTCCAACTATCAACGCATTTTGTTCAAGATCACGCATTAAGAGACCAGGACCTCAAGCAAGACGGTCATCCTGATCAAAGTTTTTTGGAAGCAAACACTGGAGAAGTAAATATAAAAATACATATTAATCGACCGGGAGGCCCATATAATATGACGGTTGTACTTATTCATTTTCCCTAATTTTTTAGCTGGCAGATCAGTATTTTAGTACTGCAGAACCAGACACATTTAAAATGGACAATCTTTTAGAGGAAATGAGAAGTACCGAAGAAACAAATGTCAGCAATCAACAAGAAGCAGCAGCGTGGCCGACAGAGTATGAAGTCCAAAAAGATGTGAGTATCTGGTCTTGGATATAAATTAACAAATTAAGTTATTATGGCGGTGTACAAGTAGATCGAGCCAATTAATGTGATCTAATAGATAGAAATCGTACTAGAAAAAATGTTTAAGTTAAAAAAAAAAAATTGTATTTTATTAGTTTTTCTATTATAGTGATTTTACTTTGAAAGTTTTATTATACATTTAAAATTGATTTAAAAAGATTACTTACTAAAATTAGAACCTCCTTCTAAAACAGTGGAAGTATCTCCCATTTTCTTGGAACATGGTTTTATTTTATTTTAAAGTTTTATGAATTTTCATTCAAGGAAGGTGAATACGATCCAAACATTTGGAGTACGACCGACAACAAAATGTTGGTAAAAGACGAAATCTATGATTTTGGTTACGGCCCTGATTGGGTGAAAAAATTGGAGTCTTCTAATAATAAGTAAGTATATATACTTACCAAGGAGGAGGAGTGGCCGAGTGGGTAAGGCGGCAGTGTGTTAGCGCTCACTGTCGCCGGTTCGACTCTCGGTCACAGGCGCTCCGTTTGCTGGGCGAGCAATCGTCCGGTAAAAAGGAACCGCCATCCCCCTCTCCGGCGACGGATTGACGACCCGTCCCGGAAGCGAATTCGTCAAGAAACCATCTCATGATGGCAGCGTTGGGCCTTCATGGCCCGTTAAGCTACATGATGATGATGATATACTTACCAATAAATATTACTCCTGTTCATAAGCGCCATGAGAACAAATAACAAATATATTATCAATAGTTAAATTTTATCGGTATACAATTATCAATGTAGAAGTTGCATAAAAAAAAAAGGAATATTTGAGGGAATTCGCAAATTCTTAAATAACAAAAAAATGTACCCAATTTGTTTAATTATGATAAAAAAAAATTCAAAGCTGAGTTTTCTGCTATTTAATTTATTACAATTGCTGTACAAAGACGCCCGAACTTATGTAGCTGAATAAAAAATAGTGGCAACACAATCTTTTCAAACAAATAATGAATTAAAATCTTAGCCAAAAATTAATATTTTGGAACGACGAAGTAGGTGTAAAAAGTATTTTAAATTAATGTTTAGGTAAAAAATAAAAATATATATTACATTGTATGTATCTCTATTGTGTTAATATTTTTGTATGTCATTTCAGAGAAGATGCCGTTAAATCTCGATTCAATTTTGAAAAACCCAAAGAAAATGAAACAATACTTGATGGTACAGTGGCTAGTCCTACAATTGTTGATTCTGTGTTGCAGGAACAAACTAATTTGGTAATTACAACTAAATAATAATATATGAATCCAAAATAAAAACTTGTCAACTATTTAAACAAAAAGATGCTGACACAACTTAATGTTTCTATATTACACATACGTGTAAACATAGGAGATTTTATTTTGCTTCTTGTCTTTGTGGTGAACGTTTCATATGACTGTCAATGTAAATATTCACATAACAAGCACTTATACTCAAATGCACAAATAATAAATATAAATAATTAATTGCTTAATAACATAAAATATAAACTAAATAACATAGTAAAACAAATGTTATCAATAGGACCCATTTTTAACTATGATGATGGAGAACATAGCGAACAAATCCAGTTTCAACGTGGGATCTTATGGAAACTTGTTGTTTGATTTTCAAAATTTACCGCAAAATGCAGATTTCAATCGTAAATGGGAATTAGAAGATGCTGCATCCGATCATATTTTACCAAGTTCGTCGAATGCTGATGCACCAATTTCAGCTATAGGAGAGCCAATATCGTCTACTGATCAAGAACAGGCGGCAGAGACTATTAACAACGATAAAAATATTTCATTTATGAGTAATATAATGAATAATCTTCGGCTATGGGAATCTGAGTTTCGAGATATGCGTACTGTCACAGAAATACCAGTTAGTGATATAATATATATTACATTGAAAAATATTTCTTAGGGTATTTAAAAGTGTAGCGGTTACTTTCGACCACCCATTACCACAAGCCCTAAATATGCTTACTGAGCACTTGTCAATAAGGCAACAGGAAGGGCAGACAGTGGACACACACGACAATGCCCCAACATGCCGATGCATCTAATTAGTTGAGACCTTACCATCACCTACTAAATACAATAATATAATTGTACTCTATTGCCTTTCATATTTTATCATGTGTGTTCGCTCAACGCAATCCGTTCATTTAATCCTATCGACGACCGCTCTGTCTAGTCTAGCCAGCTAGCCAAGTAGGCTTGTTACAAAAGTATTTATTTAATTTTTAGGAGTATTTGTTTAATCAGCAAAATGAGATGGAATCGATAGAAAATCCATTAGCCGAAGGAAAGCGTCGTTTAGAAGCTGGTGAATTATCTACAGCTGTTCTGTGTTTTGAAGCGGCTGTCAAACAAGATGCGTCTAATGCTGAAGCATGGCAACTATTAGGCACAACACAAGCTGAAAACGAACAGGTATTAATGCTTTAAATTGAGTTAAAAGAAACGTGAATATTAAACTCGCTCTTTTTGTACTTTGGATTTTCAATATTCGCTTTTGTTTAGGATCAATTGGGTATAAGCGCGTTACACAAATGTTTAGAACTTCAACCAGACAACTTGACAGCTGTACTTTGCTTGGCGGCTTGTTACACGAATGAAAGCTGTAACGCACAAGCTTGTCGAATGCTCATGGTAAATAGTATAGTATATTTATATACTATATGGCAATGAAAAAGTGTCATTTTTATTTTTCAAATAATTTATTTTAAATGTATTGATATAATAACGATATGGAATTTGAAAAAATTCAACCAGATTTGTTGGTATTCGATTTTTTCAATTTAATAGTTATTTTATTGCATTCAGGAATGGTTAAACCAAAATCCAAAATACAAAGATATCGTAAAGTCCAAACAGATTCCGGACGAGCCAAAAAAGGTGGATTACTTATTTACTTCGTAAGTGTTATTTACTTAATATACTTTGTTGAATACTTGAAATACTTATTTATAAGCAATTTTACAATATGATTATTTTTTAGGAAACTATATGATTCCGTCAAAGATATGTATATAGAAGCTGCCCAGCGAAGTGCTGAGATGGGATTCATTGACGCAGACGTTCAAAATGGTTTAGGAGTTTTACTCAACCTTAACAATGAAAACGATAAAGCCGTCGACTGTTTCAAAGCTGCACTTCAAGTCAAACCAGATGTAAATATTATAATACCTCTTTGATTCATAAAGTGGACGCTACGCTATATATATTTGCTTAGGAGAACTTGGAGATGAGCAAAATATTTCATTTTTAGTATTTTTGAACTCTGTAATACAAAATACTTAGTTTGTAAACTAAATAATCGTATTATATATATTTTGTTGTTTACAAATCAATAATAATTAAAAGTTTTTGGTTTTTTTTTTTTGTTTCGTTATTCAGAACCGATAATTGGGACATTCTCTAAGTATACAAAATATTCAATATCTTATTTAACCTGTTTTCAGGATGCTCGTTTGTGGAACCGTTTGGGTGCAACATTAGCAAATGGCGGAAAGTCTGAAGAAGCGATAGAATCGTATCGCAACGCTTTGCAGTTATGTCCTGGATTCACAAGAGCTCGTTATAACCTGGGGATCACGTGTATTCACCTAGAAACGTACAGGTATTTAAAAACAATAGTATTTATTTTTAACTCGCTAATTACTACACACAAATAGTAATACAAGACAAATGATTAATTTTATAGGGAAGCCATCGAGCATTTACTAGAAGCTTTAAACCAACAAGCTTCAGCTGTGAGCTCTAATGCCGGGACCCCCGCTTTGTCGGACACCATTTGGAGTACACTGCGTCTAGCAATATCCTTGTCCGACCGTATTGACCTTTTTAGAGCAGTAAATGATAGGTAAGCCGATATTCATTTTTTCAATACTGTTATTTCTAATATTATAATATAGTTTTAAAATAATAATATTAAGTGTAACTTCTTATAGCGCACTGGGCTTAAGTGTCACGCACGCCATAGACAATAACTAATCTGATTTGATTCAGAGTGTGCATTCTTATTTATTTGACTTGATTAAGTATTGAATTTTTATTTTGCAGGAATTTAGATTTGTTGAACGCAGAATTTAATATCAAAGAAACAAAAGAAAATAGTACAACCGATGATAATCAACAGTTAAATCGGGATTAGGTTAGGTATTTTTTTTATTTTAAATTGAATTTGTTTTATAGTTTTTCAATTGTAAAATAAATATTATATTTTATTGTTGGGAAAAAAATTGTAGCGGAACAATTTTACATCCGCTTATTCACATATTATCTTGTATAATATTATATTTCTTTTCGTATGAATGATTGAAAAATGTATGTATATTATATTATTGACACCAATAACTAAGCTGGTAGAACTTAGGGTGTGATTTTTGTATTGTTATAGTGTGTTCAGACTGTAGCCAATATTCATGCAAATAACGTAGTAACTTCCTCAAAATATTATCGATAAATATCAAAAATATTTTCTGTTTGTCAAACATGTCTAGTGTAAGTCATTTTTACTTGCTTGCTATAATTCTAATTCTATTATATTGAAATCAATTGATATCCTTTATGTTTACAAACATATTATTGTTTAATTATACATTTTTATAACAACTAATGGTTAGTTGCCGAGTTCTCAACAAAAAAAATTATGTAATGGTCGGGTTTTAGAAAAATATCACGGATCCTCAATGTTGTTAGATTTTAATAATAATTTTTTGTGTAAATAAAAATCATTAAAATCTAGTGCACGCATCGAAATCAACCAGTGATAATACTTAGGTAGTGTGGTTTTTTTTATTTTTAAAAAATGTTTTAAAATGTACGTGTATGTGTGATATAGATTTATAATAAAATGGTTTGTGCCAAAGCAGAATATATATATATATGTATTTTTTTTTTAACTATAATTTTTCCCAGGAAGATGTGGAAGGTGTGAATTACACAGGCTTGTTCACACAGTTAATTCCCGTTCCTTGAACTAATAATAATAGTAAACTTGATTTACATGAAACTGTATTCAACTTATAAACATGAACTAAAAACGGCAATCAATTAACTTAGACAATTTGTAACATACAAACTTTTATTACAGCATGTATTCACAGAAATTGAATTTTAAATTTTGTAAATCAAAAGGAAATCATCCTTATTTAAACAAATAAAGAAAACATATTTATAAGCAAAAAAAAAAACCGCCCTGGTTAAGTTGATTAAAACAGCTATAGTCAGTTTATTTACTCTCGTAGACTTACTATGTGAATTATATCATGCAACAAGACTATCGAGATATAGTTTGAGAAAATAAAAAATCTTTTTTTTTGTAAGGTTCTTTTTTTTATAACAAAATGTTAACTTCTAAAACTTAGAATAAGCAACAAATAAACAATGAAGATGCACATTATATCGTTTTTCTTGCACGATACTATTCAAATTTCAAGTATTCTATACTAATAACTATTCACGTATAAACATGATACGAACGATTATGATTTTCGTTAAACACATCTTCGTCCGAAATTTGTATTATTGTACGCTCACAAAACCCGCAAACTCCCAAACACTATGCCTAAATATATACTAATTGCAAGAATTTTTATAGGTTTCATTGGAAGAAAAAAAAATTGCATTGTTTTTCGTTCATCTAATTTACAACGATTTTCTTTTGGTGATAAGTAAGATGTTTAATTGATACCTATTAAAAAACAATTCACCTACCTGTATCATTATTTACTCGCTTTTTGTTTTAATTACAACTCGGTATTTAGGTAGGTATATCAGGAGTTTCCATAGTTCAGATTGTAATATGAATTTCGATTGGGGAATGTAATGGCGGTCAGTAGGGCAACTTTTAGAAAAGCTTTAACGAAACAACAGGAGAAAAGAACTTTCGTATAAGTTACGCTTTTACTTCTTCTTTGTCTCGACGAGTGCAAAGCGGAGGAGAAGTGGGTGAAATATAATATTGTATTAAATAAATTTATGGTTGGTCCGAAAACAAAAATCATCACAAACAGCCAATAGGTATCCGAGATTTATTGCTTCATTATTCATTGCTTGGTGTAATTACAAAACTAGCTCACACAATTTTTATTAAAATTTAGGTGAATTTTTAAAACGATAGTTTTTAATTGATATTTGCATTCCTACTCACTGTAGACTCTACCAGTCGAGTAGTGTTTCTAATTTTGATGTAAAAATTAATTGAAAAAAAAAAAACTGTTGTTCAAACTAATTTTCTAGTCATTTCGCATTATAAAAATTTAAAAAAACTACCAAAACGAACGCAAAAAAATAAATGGTCACGGTGACACTAGTCGGAGAAAGAATAACAGCATTGAGTATATTATATTGTACGTACGCTCAACGATAAAAGCTATTTTTTACTGAATGTTCAATGTTTGGGATAGGACGTGGTTGATGCGCGGTCGAGGATTAATTTTCACTTGGCGGTTTAAGTATAATACGGTTATTGAAAAATTGCCTAATTACAACTGTTGTTTACAATGGGCGTCCGAAACACAACGGTGTAGTGTAATTGTCAGTTTCCAATCACGGGTACTATACAGGGGGGTATAAAATTACCTTGGGTACCTACCTTAGTATATCATAGGACGGTAGGTACATACATGAAAATTAACACCTACAACCCCGAGGGTTCCGGATGTAACATCTGTTACTCGATTATTCGCTTTCAGTAAAGGTAATCAAATAGTGTGTACACATATAATTAGTAGTAGTAGTAGTAGGAGGTAACTTTAACAAAAAAACAATTGTACACAGTGTTTTAATGAATGCACGAAAATCATATGCGCGTATATTATATTTATGTGTAATTAAAATGAAGGAAAAAAACGAGCAGCTGAAGTTCCTATACTCGGTCAGCAGGTGTACTCAGTCGGTGCCAAAAGGTTTAAAATTGATGATGTATAACCAGAAGCCAGCCGCCCCATGTGTGTACAGTGATGGACATTCGGATACCAAATGCCTGATAACTGATTAGAAAACTAAAAAATAATAATATAATTTGTTTAAACGCGGCTTCGTCCGCGATAACGATCATTATCTACAATGACCATTGTCTTTTTACACACATTATATGTAACTGTACGGGTATTTTTAGTACCAATTACCGAGTAGTATCAATTATATTGTTATTGAGATCCAAGTACCAACAGTCAATCTGCGGTTAAAGTTTAGCTTGAAAAAATAAATAATCGTCTTAATCAAATTTATTGTATTCGCAATTAACATTATATAATGCAAATTGACACGAGTGCAAAAAAATGTAATCTTCGAAAATATAATGTGGCTCGCAATCAGTGGGTTGCCTTGTATAATATACAATATTATCTAGTATACATCTGTACCGTTCCTAGGAAATACCTGCTACAATACAATTTTTTAGAAATCTCCTATTCGTTGTATTATTATTGGGTTAAACTGTTTGATCGTTGCATAACAATATAATACACAGTATAATTGTTTTTACTGTCTACTGCCATTGTCGGACAACGTATGCTCGTTGCCCTCGTAAAATCTCAAATCTACATAACATACAATACATTAGATATACAACAGGTAAACACTCCTATGCGTTGGACACATGTACAAAGGCGCGTTACAACAGAATAACAGTAGCCTGGCTTCACTATAGTCTTGGGATCCAGAAAAAAAAAACATTTTTTTGTCTTAAGTTAAGATATTGTTTTACCTCGAAGAAACTGTATCGTTTTTATAAAGACAAATTATGGTAGACATAGGTGGTTGATCACTTTTTAAACCAACCAACACACAACTGTTTATACAGTTGATACAATAATTGTCTAACTCACGAAGAACTTATTTTTTTCGAAACGATGAATATAATTATATAGTTTTAAGTAAAAATGCGAATATAAAAATTAATAAAGTCCATAGAAATAACTGGAAATTATCGATTTTATAAATATTTCACAAATAGAAAATCACCGTCTTTGCAAATAACAGGTCGCCAGAACAATAATACCTACATGAATTATATATGTATATTATAACATAATATTTTAGAGGCTCGATAAAAAATTGTACCGAATTTCGATTGTGGTACTTTGTCGAGTGCAGATTAAGTTATTATATTGTTTTAAAATGTATTTATGTGTTTCTTTAATTACGTTGTACCGTAATTTATAAAAAAAAACTTAGCTAACAGCCAAAGCTTTATAGACTTGTCAGCTGTTTTCCATAATAACCTTAAAGGTTTTTTTCGAAATTTTGAAGATAAGGGAAATGGTGGTTTATAGCTTTTTACTTTCTTGATTACTAAAAAATCAAGCAAGTATGGTAATTGGAATGAAACAAATTGTCGTTGAGAAATTTAAGAGCTTGTTGTGAATAGAAAGGAAACAAAATGCTACAGTGGACATATTATAAACGCTAATTGTATCTTTCACTATAACAGATAGAAAGTTAATTCTAAGCTCATTAGAAAGATCTTGTCGAGAAGATATAAAATATGGATTAAAAATAAATTTGTTAAGTTTTTAAGTTAAGTAAGTTTTTTACAATTAAAACAATTGTTAATTTTAGCTGAATTTTTCTTTAGCCACGCCGATATCTCTGAAACAGATGAACGAGGTAGGTAGTTAAACATAATAATAAAAAAAAAAAAAACACAACTAGGTATATCATATTATAATATTATGGTAATTCGTTATGGCCCAAGTCCTTGTCCGGACGGGTAGTGTGTATTGTAAGTAGATTGGTAGATGTATATATTGGTCTCTATCTATAGCACAGTGCACACACACACACATTTATTACACCACCGACTTTTGGATACATGCCGAATCCGTATTAGGTTTTTTTTTTTTGTATTGAAAAAATGCATTTGCCGCCGTACAAAATAATATAATAAAACGAATAAATTACATTACACCGTTTGGACGACATCCAAATTTGCTGTAAATCATCATTACAACACGGCCACGGCGGCAAGTGGTTTGCTTAAGCCCGAGCAACGCGTGTCCAGACTACTAAGTTACCCGGGACAAGATTATTCGGTTCCCACGGAAACGTTTCGGTGAATCATCTACATAATACCTAATCATATTATGTACATTAGCACGACATACCTACCTACGAAACCATCAGGTTTATCGAGTGTACGCACACATTCGGTTAAGCTTCTGCGCATTTTAAAAAATGACATTCAAACTGTCCGAAAGGCCAATGCCGTTCCCTCCGGCGGCAGTACGCCTATTAGTTTTGTTTAATTAAGCTTGCAAACGGGTAATAACGATAATTATGCTTAAAAAAAAAAAAAATCATCATATTTTATTAAGATCACACATTTTTAAGGAGTAAAGTATAGGCAGGCAATTTTCTACAAAATCTCAACTTGAACGTTAAACTGTGATGGGTAGTAATAATTATTAACTCAGTAATCGAGACACTTTTATTTTGGTAGTTGAATTTTTTTTCGGACTGTCACAGCGCAGCGTCCTTGAAAGAGATTTAAAAATAAAGATCTTCCACAAATAATCCGACAGAAGAGTTATATTATATCATCTGTAGGTTAACAACTTTATCTGTGTCGCCTCGATGAGATTTTTAGGCGGGGAAATGTTTTCTTTGTATCACTTTTTCAAACGAAGTTTTAGACAATTTTAGGTCTGAAAATTAAACTGAAGGTAGAGTAGCGCTGTAACATATTCAATTTTTTTACTAATCTGTAGACAATCTTTTATTAAGGAAAACCCCAAAAAAAATGGGAAAAAATACACCTTGACCGTAGTCAAGTTTTACGTGTGAGTGTATCCACGGGTGCTTGAAAATATTTTCATTATAAATCAATACATTAATATAGACGGACGATCAACCCTAATCG